TAATGGTTCTTATCTGCCGTCACATTCTATGGTTTATATTTATTTGCTTAGTTTTACATTATATACATGTTAATACTTGGGTATACAAGAGGAATATAATATATAACGATATCATTCAGTAGATATACACAGAGCACATATATATATTTATTATAAAAGATTCTAACCAACAGCGATGCAATCTTGATGTAGCGTCCCTGTACCATCAACTGATGTGTGCTTATCAAATTCTCACAATGTCGCTGCATGCTTAGCCAACGCAGTTTACTATTGTGGAATTACTGTTGTGAAATGTCATGCAGCAAAAAAATGAATGCAGAGGAACACCAAAAACCAGTGCCAACCACGGTGAAAAGGTGAAAAAGAAGATTTACAGGAACGAGTACATTACACTGGGGAGAAAAGAACAGTCATTTCAACCCCAACTATTGCATGCCTCCTGGGTATACTTTGTACATGCTGGAGTAAAAGTGCTTTACGGAGATTAAGTTCTTAGCAACCTCACCCAGAATTTCTAGATTCAGACCAAGGAACACCAAGGGGCACTCTAGGGATAGTAATGGTGCTAAGGGGTTTTGTGCAACTAGTTTTGAGCGGTTTGAGAAAATATGGGGCTCTTTCAGAAGTCTAATACTGTATTATGCTTACATAATGATTCAGGTTTTAACGTCAACTGAAACTCTCTTTAGGTGTCAGGAGAGCCTTGGTTTGTTATAAACTGCTTAAAAAATGGTTTAACAAACATTGGATGCACTGTGCCCAAATACCTTTGTACTATAGCCACTGTGAAAAGATTAAAGGAAATTGCCACATTTACACAAGACTTACCTAAGACTTTTTTGCTAACTATCAATTGCAGGTCTTAATAAAGGTGTCCTGCCCCTTAACCGCTCCTCCCCCCCCCCAAATAATAATCTGTATTAGAGATCTACTCCGTGACCCCCAGGACTACCATCAGAAATCTTGTGGTGCCTTACAAAACCAAAAGCTCACCCAGCACACACACATTTCAGCCTAAAATTTGACACGTATTACCAAGAATTTGAACAATGTATACTGTGTTGGTATGTTTTTTAAAGTCACGTCTTGACAAAAATAAAACAAACAAATCCAAACTGCAATTTTCAGGCTAAAATAATGAGGCTGTGATGCATACATATCCCAGATAAGTTATTTTAGCCTTAACGTGGCACTGTTACCATCTGGGGACTTTGCCAAATTTGCAAAGACCCCTGATGGTGACATTGCCGCTGGGGTTCCTGTGGCCGTAGGTAAAGGTGAGATTGACTTACGTTAACCTGTTCCTCTCGGGCATGACCATATTCCTCTGGTGGGTCCTGTTCAGGAAGCACCTGGAGTGGATGTCACTGATGAACTCTCACGCATGTGTGAAAGTACAGCATTGAGACCCGGGGGGATCCTCCATAAACAGAGCCAATTCCCTGGAGCCACCACTGGTGACAGCTGTTGGGATGGACACTGTAGCTCGGCCCAGAGTCTAAGAAAGACAGGCAGAGAAAATATACAGAGACAAAGTAGTCCTCCTTACTTTATTTATATAGATCACTTGACTCAGTGAAATTCCAACACAGTCATAATAAGTATTTCATAAAGATTCTATATTTATGAAATACTCATTTTTTCAGGGGGGAATGTGGCGTTAAATTTTAAGTCCGCTACATTTCACAGTTTAGTGAATAATCCAGATTCCTGATTGTGTATATATACCCCGATAATTCTTGTGTATCTTCCGCAGTCCAGGGAATGTTGGAAGGAGCAGGTTGGTAGCTACAGAGAAGGTAAAAGACCTGCAGGATATTTGAAGGGACATTCTAACCACCATATCTACTTCAGCTTATTAAAGCATGTTGACGTGCAGAACACATATTAAAAAAATACATTAATTTCTTCATCTATTGCCAGATCCACAGGAGTTGTCTGGGAACAGATTACTTATACCTATTGATGGGTGCTCGATAGCACATGAAAAGTGTTGCCAAGCAGCAGCTGGAATACATATACTGCTGAAGGTAAATCAAGAGATTAAAGAATGAGGAATCCTGCAGCATTTGATTTCTATATACTTCAGAGCAGCAGTATTTAATGTGTTATCGGTTAATGTGAAAAACTGATATTACCATGGGAACCATAATGGATATGGCAACCCAGCCCCCTGCCCATAAGCTTGACTTCCTGGCTGAAATTTAGAGACCAAACCTTTTAGAAATTGTGCATCAATTAGATCAGTGGTTCCCAACCAAGTTCTCAGGTACCCCCTAACAGTCCAGGATTTAGGGATTACCCAGTTGTGTATAAGGTGTTTTTAAAAATAAGAAAGAAAAAAAAAAATTAGACACAACTGGGTAATCCCTAAATTCTGGACTGGTAGAGGGTACCTGAGGACTGGGTTCGGAACAACTGATTTAGATTAGAAAAATAAGATTACTAGAAACAGCTTTTTTGCTCACTTAGCAGGCTCACCATTATGTATTTACAGGTTAGTTACTAAATCAAGAATAAACAGTGATTTATTCACAAAGCAATAAATTAGTCGGATATTTAGACCAAACTAGCAGATTTGGACAATTTCTCCAAGTCATCTAGGTTTGACTACATTGGTCTAAATTTTGCAAATTTGAATTTTTATTTCACCACAATTCCTAGTTTAGTGTTAATCTCATAGGGATATTGCTGGTTTACCCCTTTTGATATAAAATTACAACAGGGCTATTAGTTGAAAAGTTTAGCGTAAAAAAGATAATGAGATAATGACAACGTGTAAAGAAAATAGTATGATAAAAATTTACAATTTCACATAAATGAGACACATGCATATATATTGATTGAAACTAGTTTACTACAATTTACAATAAACCTAATTTGTCATTGAATTACTAAACTCCTTATGTCTGTGAGATACACTGTCCTTCAGTAAATAAAATAGTGGCGTTGTTTTGCAGAGGTGCACAGATTTACATACCTTGAAATAATGTGTTTGCCTCGGTTACCAAGGCCTTGGCTGATTGCTTCCAAATCCCTATTCTGAGATCATGTTACTGAAGGCTCACACCTGATGCTTTTTTTTTTTTTTTTTACTAATATAGCAGTGCTGTAACCCCTGCTTGAAAACCCTATAATTCACTTACACTCAGAAAATAGTCTAAGCACCATAACCACTACAGTGCACTTGTTAACGGTTTGACAACTTACTTGGGGTTCACCAGGAGTGAGTCATTATCTCCACTGACAGTCGGAAGCCCATACAGGTAGCTTCCATTAGCTCACCAGCTCATTGGCTCAGAGTGTCAGCTGATAACTCTCAGCCAGTAAGCTAAGCCGGCTCTCATGGACAAGGTGATTGGGTCCTGGCAGACCCCAGGGTTGATGTCAAATTAATTTACTTCTTACATTGGAGGTACCAGGGCACTTTTCACACCATAACCACTGCAGTGTGCTGTAATAGTTAAGATTCTTTAAGTGTTCCATTAACTCTGTTTCAACCTTAGGGCGTGCTCTGCCATCCTACAAAAGAAGGGCTTTAACCCCTTAAGGACCAAACTTCTGGATTAAAAGGGAATCATGACATGTCACGTGTCCTTAAGAAGTTAATGCTGTTAGGAAGGCATGGCATGCCTTAGCAATCGGGCCCTCCCTGCATCCAGCATACTTGCCCTCCTCGCCGAATCTAATCGTTTGTCACCTCACTCGCCCGCCCCTTTCTCTGTTCCAGTCCCGCTGGTCACTGGGGCGAAGAGTCCTCTTGACAAAGTGGCTAGCGGTGTTCTATCAGACAGTAAGTTTGTGTAATGTTATTATTAAGGCAAACAAGACAGACTTTTTTTTTCATATTTCCCTCTTCAGTGTCGGTCCCAGGGGGAAGTAAGAAAAAGGTTCTCTGTGCTGTGAAACTCTAATAATATATAAGAAGTGCGAAATAATCATTTATTATATATAATATTTTTGGCTAATCAATCACAGTGACAGTGTCTAAGCCTGTTGCTCAAGTCACTGGGATTGATTAGGCATGCTAGTAGTGGCAGTGATTATGGTGTATAGAGTTCTCCTTATATTTGTAGAAAAAGAACAGTTCAGTCAATAACCCTGTTGTGGGAAGTATTATTAAGGCATTTATTTAAAAAAAAAAAACACAACAACTGTGATTTGTAGGAATTGACAAAGGATGACAAACAGGTGTGTGCGTTTTTTTTTTGTTTTTTTAGCAATTCTGGCTGTTTTGGAATAATATTTGCAATTCCTTTGTCACTTTTCCACAATTCAGGGATTAGACTATCTGGACAAATTCTTACAATCATTCATTCAATAAACTCTGAACTGTTGCAAATTGAAATCCCAAGGGCAGTAATAGTCAAACACTGACTATAAGTCAGTTTGAATATTTTCCCCTCAATTTTGACATTTCCATTACTATAATGCTACAATACACAGTTTAGTAAATATACCCACTTACTGATATGTTGGCTTTTATATATAGAAAACACGATATATATAGAAAACATAGAACAGAATGCCCAACGCGGTGTGTCTGCTGTTTATGCTGGTTTCCATGGCAACTGCTGCACTTTTAGCACTTTAGACCACTTTCCAGAGCTCAGTACTTGTTATACAAAACCCCCAATGTCTCAGTTTAACACACCACAACCACAGAAAACATTGCTACTGTCTAACCATAAAATAACCTTTAATTCCTGCCTTGTTTTTTTTAACCTTGTTATTATTAATTGTTATTTTATTTGTACTGACAACAATAAGAATAAAACTGCAACCAGGAAGTAATGTTACATTTCCTACAATGTAAATAAAATGTAGCAGGATTGTCCCAATGTTTGTAGGATAATGACTGGCTCATTGTTGTGTTTTTTCCTGCCTGCTTGTGATGACCTACATACATTGTAACAGAGGTATGTGCTTGTAACACCCACTGGGTTGACTCCACCTGCCTCTAATCCATTGGCACACCTCTGTGACCTGCAGCAGAAGGAGTTCAGTTGAGTAAGAGGAAGTAGTCACAGAGTTTCATCTTCTCTTGTTTCATTTAAGCCTTTTTTTCCCCCACTGTGAATCCTTCTAGTGCAGCTATTGAACAAGGTAAGATCTCAGATTTCTCCTAAACATCTTATTTTCATTCAGTGATCATCAGATTTCAGCTACAAGATATAAAAAAGGCTCCTTGGATACCAGACGCGTCAAACAAGCCTGCTTTGTGTTTATTAACCCATTCAAGACCTGGGCACATCCTTTGTCATCAGTACAGTCCAACGATGTCGCTGGTCCCCAAAGGGTTAAACAATGCCATTCAATCTAATGATTTGTAGTTAATTCTTGTTTTGTTCTGTTTTCTATCTCATCAGGGAGAAATATTTAGCAGTGTTTTGAACGAGGTTAACTTGTTGAGCTGAAGCCTGTGGTTTGTTATAAGAAAATTCATATTTTGACATTTTATGTTGACTGTATTGGGGAGGTAGTGACTTGATGGTATCAGTTAGGATGGTGTGTTTGTAGAAAACCCATGCAAATTGGCAAAATTAAAACATGGTACCCTTGTGAAGTTGTTTTAGATAGGTGTGTTTTTTTTTGTTTTTTTTTAAAGGGTTATTCTTTAAACACTGAATTTTAGCAAAGTAAATTAAAGTGGCAAATATAGTCTGTGTCTGGAGCTGACTTTGAGAATTTAGAGTTTAGTTTCTAACTCTGCAAATCACCTTAGCTGGGTGGCAAGTTCGTGAGAGATTGTAGGTTTGGAGCACTTCGATCTGTCCATTTACATTACAATGGGATGTATTCACTATACCCTGAATTGTAACAAATTAAAATATGAATAGCAGATTACCAGACCTTCATAAAAGGCAGTTCCAACATTCTTCCAGATCAGCAGCTTTTACCTAAATGATGTCATTCTGAGTTAAAACAGCTGCATTTAATGCACATTCCAAAGTTTACAGTGCCTCTCCCTAGCCCTGCCTTATAAACATAAGGGTTTCTAGGAATTGTAGTTTATTTGTCTGCTTTCTACTGGAGGTGGTGTATTTATTTTTTAGCACAAGGTGAAGCACTAAATGTTTGCAGGGAGGAGCAGAAAGCCTGGGGTTATGACAAAAATAATTGTAATTTTTTAAAAAGTCTCTAAAGTAGATGGTAACTAACTAAACAACATTATACCTAATGTGGAGGTGCCTGGAGTGTCCCTTTAAGGGTAGAGTTAAAGGGACACTATAGGCACCCAGACCACTTCAGCTCATTGTCCCCTGATTATTATTACTGGTATTAAATGGCGCCAGCATATTCTGTTGCGCTTTACAATATTATCAAAGGGGGAGATTTAACAATAAATGAGACAATTACAAGAAAACTTACAGGAACGATAGGTTGAAGAGGACCCTGCTCAAACGTGTCTATAGGAAGTGGGGTGTAAAACACAATAGGACAGGGAATAGCAATCAAATAAGGTGGGAGTGAAGCAGAAATGGAGGAATGAGTAAAGTGCTGCCCTTTAGGAGAGAGCAAGGGACAGGTATGTGAGGTAGAGGTTACTCTGGGAGGCCATAAGCTTTCCTAGAGAGATGGGTTTTAAGGCAATTCTTAAATGATTAAAGACTAGGAGAGAGTCTGATGGGAGTAGGCAGGCTATTCCAAAGGAAAGGAGCCGCCTGCGAGAAGTCATGAAAGCGTGAGTTGGCCATACGGGTGCGAGCAGTGGACAAAGGAAGGTCATGGGCAGAGCGGAGAGACTGAGAAGGGGTATACCTATGGATCAGTGAAGAGATATGGGAGGGGCTGCAATGTTAATTATTGCAGTTTCTGAGAATTCACAATAATTACCTTGCAGGGTCAAGACTGCCTCTAGTTGCTGTCAATTACACAGTTACTGGAGGCCTTTCCTTGTGGTTAGGCGACTTTTGATCTCCAACTGAAGCTAGGCGTCATTACGCTGGACATCCTTATGTTCTGCGTGAGGACATCCAGCATCCGTCAAATCCTCAAAGCAAAGCATTGCAGCAAAGCATTCCTATGGGGAGGGCCTAATGCGCTCGCTGCATTTGTCGCAGATGCACACTAGCGCCCCATCAGTTGTCAGAGGGGGCGGAGTGCCGACCCAATGCCGAGGGACATCGGCGCTGTAATCAAATAAGTACAATAAGGGTACTAGTGTATTCCTAGCATTATAGTATCCCTTTATCTCATGCACAGCATGGCCACCCTTACCATTTGCAGGACCTAGAACAGTAGTAGGAAGCATTCGTCACTCCAGATTTTGTGGACTACATACTACCAGAATAACAGCAGGCAAATATTATTTGGCCTACCTGATAGTGGCATTTATGTATGGCAAAGGAGCAGTTAAAGGAACACTCAAAAAATTTTTTTCTTTTTTTAAATAAATCACTGTTTAGTAGATATTTTCCGATAAAAACATCATGCATTTAGTTCTATCTATAATCAGTTTGCAAATTATGTAGATCTTCTTCTGTCTGCATCCTTTGTAATCCCTCCCCTTCTTACCCAGCCCAGACGTTCTGTGCCGGGGAAATGACCAATCAGAGGCTTCTCATTGAGTCTCTTCTGCGTGCTTGCATGTATGCTTCCCAGCGCACGTGTGGCGAGTAGGTGGGGTGCAAGTACTACACGGGAGCCAGGACAGAAGAGGTGGATGCTAGGGAGCCTTTTGGACACATGCGCTCACTTATGCTCAGCACTAACAACCGGGGAGAAGCGTCTTAATTTGTGCACTTATTTCTTAAAGAAATATGCACTTTTTAAAAAGTGCCATTTAAATAAGATACTCCTTACCCATAAAGCACTTTAGCAAGCTGAAATTCCTCTAAAAAGTTGAGGGGCACTTCACAGAGGGATCACCAGGATTTTGGGGCCCGTTAATATAGGGCTCCCCTCCTAGTGTCCTGTACTGTCCTGATGTCCAGTAATAGCCGGTAAGCCAAAGATGGATGATCTCTTGTAAGAAGAAGAAACCTTTGGCTTCACATTGCAGCCAGCTCCCCAGGGTTCTGTTCCTTAGATATAACATTGTTTCTCCAGTTGCCGAGCAATAGTTTATCTTGTGATATACACTAGCAGCTGTCTCAGCCCTCCTGCGTTAGGCTTTCTTTACGGATTTTTGTTAACTAAACTGGAAACGGTGCAGTGTTTACATACTGCAGATTTGGGGGTCAATGTAATATGGACTAGGAAGGCTTTTCTAGGTCTGCAAATCCACTAACTGTTCTTTACAATCCTCTGTTTACGGAATAATCCTACAAGAGTTCTGGCTTTGTTGCCTCCAAGACTAAGTAAGGTATAGCTGCTTGGACTAAAGTGAGAATTCAAATTGAATTAAAAATTTATGGTCAAAATAATAATAATAGTTCTGGTTGGGGGGAGGGGGGACTGTGTGTGTGTATATGGGGGATGTTGTTGTGTGGGGGTGGGAGGGCAAATTCATTAAAAAACACTTTTCATATCCCCACCTTGCTGACTTTTGCCTGGGAGGGGGGACATTTCCTGACATCCTTGGTGGTCCAGTGGGAAGCCCTGGTGGTGGAGAGGGAGGCACAGTTCCCGGTGCTATGAAATATCTTGCGGCTCCCCTGTGTGCACGTTGCGGTGCTCTGGCATTCTGTTTGGGAACCTCTGCTCTAGACAAAGACTAAATTTAGGGGTGTGAGTGGTTGCGTGGCCAGGGGCTGATGGTCCAAGTGAAATATTAGGTGCCTTGCTAATAACATTTAACTCAGAAACTTAGAAAAAGAACAATGTATATTTTTTTTTGCACAGACTGGTTTCTAAACACATTTACTGTAGTTTAAAGACAGATTACTGGAAGTATTATTGCTGTGTAGCTCTGTGATACACCAACAAATATGGAGCTTTTAGAAACTAGGGACATTAGGAGAGAAAATAGGACAGAGGGATTTTGACCCATAATAGGGACTGTCCCTCCTACATAGAGACACTTGGAAGGTGTGATGTGTCATGTGGTGCTGGCAGTTTGGCTTTCTGGTTTGATGTGAAGATAAAAACTGCAGTATTTGTATGGTGTGGGGCATATTAACTGCTGTTGCGTCATCTCTTGCAGCTGGCACAGATGCAGTTGATAGGAGTAGGGATTTATTAGCGTTTCTGATACTGTTATCTTGTGGGTTATCTTGGTGTTGTTGACATAGTGACCCGATGTTCACTCTCCTCATTTTCTTCTGGAAGGGGACTGTTTCTTAAAGGGAAACTATAGTGCCAGAAAAACAGACTCATTTTCCTGGCACAATAGCTTCCCCCTTTGTCAAGGCCCATGCCCGTGGTGCAAAAGGGGTTAATACCTTCTCTGTAATTTGCATGGGTACAGCGCTGATGTCCCTCGGTGCTGGCTCAGCTCCTCACCAACCGACATCTGCTGGCGTGGTGATGGTGATGATTTCCCCATTCCTATGGGGATTCTGGTGACGCCGGAAGTACTCAAACATAGCGTGAGGACGTCCAGCGTCGTTTAGGCAACCAAAAGTCACCTTAATGCCCGGAAGTCCTTCTAGTGGCTGTCTGGTAGACAGCCACTAGAGGAGGAATTAACCCTAGCAGATATTTATTGCAGTTTATAAAAACTGCAATAATTACCACTCTAGGGTTAAGGGTGATGGGAGTTTGCACCCAGACCACTTCAATGAGCTGGCTAATTAGTTGTAGAATTTTGTCTAATGCAAAAGAAGTTACACATTGGGCATTCTAACAGTGCGTTTAATACATATATTAATTGTGATTTCTTTTCCTTTACCAGCCTCTGATCAAAGAGCTCAATGCCATTTGTATCCCAGAAACAATATAAATATTGACATTTTTTTCTGAACTCACTCAACTCAATTCGTTAACTTTTAAAAGGATATTAAATTAAATTGATCATCATTTGATATTTTTTTTTCTTCCTGGAGTATAATTTTAAACCTGTTTCTTTATATATCTATGAAAGAGGATGAAGGATGAAGACCTCACCATTGACAACGGTCACGTTGACCTCGTTCCAGATCTCATCCATTCCTCTATGGATTCTAGTTGTTTGCCAGATGACTCTCTCATCTCCAATGTTTGGCACGAAGACAGTAGCTCAAGCCAAGGAACTCCTGGAATGAACAGTAGCACATGGGGGGATTTCGAAGGTTTTAGTGAATTCACTCCACAATCAGAGACCTTTTGTTACGCTGAAGAAGACTTATCTGGAGAATTACAATGTAACGGAACTAGTCCAACTGCACATTTCACAAAGACCTTCAAGGATGAAAATTTATCTGGACCATTTGAATGTCACACTGGATTGGATAGACGTCTGTTAGAAGGGGTAGGTATATACGTAAATGTAATTTAATTTATTTACATATCGAAATGTAATTTATTTTGGTGTTAGGTAACACTAATGGTCATGGAAAGAAAGGTACGATTGTTGCCATGTTTCCGGTATTCCCTTGTTATCTATGCTTACAAATTTTATGCTAAATTGGGGAATATGATTTGAAGCAAAGTTGTTATGGTGCCTGGCATGACCATAGAAATGCAGGGATTTTTAAGCTGTTAGAAATTGTGGAGACATAGCAAGGGTGGATTGTTTATTGTAGGGTGTAATTTAACCCCTTAAGGACACATGACATGTGTGACATGTCATGATTCCCTTTTATTCCAGAAGTTTGGTCCTTAAGGGGTTAAGGCCAAACTAGTAGAGATGGCAAAACTCTGTAGTCTGTTTCATTATAAAGTAGACAAATAAAAAGCAGTATTTTTGAGGCACTAATTCAGTGTCAGTCCATTTAGTAATACAAACGGGGACAGGGAGGCTCAACACAGCGGGCCAAGAGACTCCTTTGTCATGTTTTACATGGTGATCTGACTTTTCTTTTTGTAAGGACAATCTCTGATGCAAGAAAGAATAATGATAAATTCTGTTATCCCCCTAGGGGGACAAAGTGTCTTGATCTGATTTGGAAACTCTGTTTTGCATAACAAAGAGAGAGAGAGAAACTGGCTTAAAAAAAAAAAAGTATGTGAAAACCTGTGGAACCAGAAAAATCTGCAAGTAAAGAAAAGGAACCCTGAATTAAACTATGGTTAACAAAAGATGAAACAGAGACAGGATTAAATTGGTGAAAAACATGAAATAAATGTAATGATGAGATTAAATATTAATGACCTGATTAGTCTGTTTTATCACAATGTATTAATCATTGCTATTAGTTAATGTGCGCATGTTGTAAAAACTATTAATGCATTGCTAGAATGTGACATGGATTTGTTGTCACTGTGTGATGTGTGTAAAATGTAGTGTCACGTGCATACTTTCCTCTTGTGTCTGCATGCCTGCTGGATAAGTCACTGCTTTAGTCATAGCGTGTTCATCACGGAACGTTGCTGGTAAATCAAGAAAGTGTGCTGGTGAAATCTGCTTCCTGTACATTACAATAGGAAGTGTGTGTGTGTGTGTGTGTGTGTGTGTGTATAAAACTTAATTAACAGAGATTTTACAAGGCTGTAAAATAGTGCACCTATATCGTAATGCCAAGTCTTAAAATGTACTCATCACTGCAAGACTGGATAGTCCATGACCCACTTATTCAGTGGTGGATTTCTATTAATTTTCACTGGCCAATGGCTAGTGACTAGTGTTAGTTTATAGCCCTGGTACTAAAACAATGTTAAATTGTCTGTGTTGCAGGTATAAAGTCTCCAATATATAAAGCTGTAATTGTTTGAGAATTGTTTGCTCCAACATTGATCCATTTTTGCCTTGATAAATATCTTTTTAACCCCTTCAGGACGGAGTCAATAGTACACGTTCTGATCAAAACAAAATGTAAACAAAAACTGGAATTTGCGCTATATGTCTGTTCAACCGTAATTCACCGCTGTCACATTAAGTGCACCCACACTTATCATATATAATTTTGTTCAGGAGAAACAGGGCTTTCATTACATAACAAATATTTATATATGAAACATAATTTATTATGAATAAAATCTTAAAAACTGAGAAATTTTAGCTGTAAATGTCATAATATCATTAGCTTTTACTGCAAAAAAAGCACATATTTGGATTCGGCAAAGTCTCACGAGTACAACAGTAGCCCCCATTAACAGTTTTTTTACGGTGTTTTGGAAAGTTACGGGTTCAAATATAGCACATTCCATTTTTCAGTTTTTTCACATTGAAATTTGCCAGGTTAGTAATGTTACCTTTGAGACCGTGTGGTAGCCCAGGAATGAGATTTACCCCCATGATGGCATACCATTTGCAAAAGTAGACAACCCAAGGTATTGCAAGTGGGGTATGCCCAGTCTTTTGTAGTAGCCACTTAGTCACAAGTGTATTTTGTTACCAATATATTTATATTAATAACAAAATACAGTTAGAATGAAATAACATATGTATATATAATTTTATTTTTTATATTTTATTTTATTTTATTTATTATTGTAATTATACGTATATATAAATATAAAGATGTATTTTTTATATATATATATATATATATATATATATAAAACGTCATTCTAAGTGTATTTTAATATATAATATATACTTATATTAACGTTAAAATACACTACGTATGATGTGTGTGTGTGTGTGTGTGTGTATATATATATATATATATATATATATACACATAATACTTTTTAAATAATTTTAAACAAGTCTCATAATTTTTTTTATTTATTTTTTTACATGGCCAGCTATAGGGGGCCATGTAATAGCTTTTTGAGAGCGATCACATGGCCCCCGGGGGAGGGCTGCCTGGGCTGTCAGGCAGTCCTCCCGAAGAGGATCGTGGAGGATGTAAGTAAATCTCACCTCCTGGGGCTGCAAGCCGTTACGGCGTTCTATGCCGCCGCAATGGCTTTAAAGCCCATTATAATGGGGACGTCATAGAACGCCATAACGGCGTTAAGGGGTTAATTCTTGTGAAAACTAGCTGTAGAGCTCCAGTCCTGACATGTAGTTGCAATGATATTGCTGGTAGTCCACAAAGAATGGATAACCTTGGTGGCCTAGATGTTGGTGGAGCATTATGTCAGCCCTCTCTTACTTACGTTGTCGGTCTGCTGACACAGGATCTGGCGGACCGCCACTCCCACGCAGAATGATGCTCCACCCAGCCCCAGGGACCCTCTGCCACGTGTGCCCGTCCCTTTTTATGTCAGGAGAGCTCTATGCACACACGTACGTTTCTGCTAACCACGCCAACAACCATATAAAAGCCCAGTCTGTCCAAAGCACAGTGCCCTGTTGAGGTGCCTTGTGTCACTAGTGTCCCTATAGCGCATTCCTGTGTCCTTTGTGATAGTTCTTTGGTTTTGACCCGGCTTGCTCTCGAATATTGTTTTCTCGGTTATTGTGTATTTCTGGTTCCTTGACCTTGGCTTGTCTTGACATTCCTTTAATTTATTCTTTATTCTGGCCATTCTAAGGACCAGTTTAGGGACATTCTTTCTGTCTATACTTTCTCCTGGTGGAAAAGCAAGTCTTATGGATTGACTTGTGTGCAGATCTGTGTTTAACAATGTATTGACTATCCACTGACTTCAGGTGGAAGTGGTTTTCAATCACTATTTTTCCCCACCATAATTTTCTTGGTTTGTTCTCCGCAAGTAACGTCAAATTCAACAGCCAGCCGGTAACCAACCTCATGATGTTTAGTTGCATTAACAATGACATTGCTGTTCATGAGTGGTTCAGTGGCTTTTCATCTCTTCCTGGGTTGTGTTTCACAGCTGTTGTATACAGCAAATATAAACTCCAAGGAATCCATGTTTAAATTGGAATAATGAGGCAAAAATGTGATTCTTTGTTGAACTAATTAGCATTTGCTCACCCAGAATCCCTAATCAGCAAATGCCCACCCAGAATCCCTCAATTCGTTGTTTAACTAATTAGCATATACCCACCAGCATAACTGCAAAGTAGAGTTTTTTTGTGGGAATATCAAGTCTTATGGCTTGACTGGTGTGTGCAGCTCTGTGTTTAATAATCTATTGAGAATATATATATATATCTATATATATATATATATATATATATATATATATATATATAATACTTTGTTTGTTTTTTCTGTCATAGCATGTTATATGCTTTCCTTATTTTCAAAACATTGTATTTTTTTATTTTTGCAGGATACAAAAGATTTTGAAAACATTTTCAGGGACAGCTTCCCTGAGTTGCCAGTGGACCAAACTAACGACGATGTTGAAAGTTTAGACCAACTTCTGTTTTCACTGAAGGAAACATGTGTTGACAAAAAAGTAATCCAGAGTCCGCTACGGTAACTATATATTATACTCTATACCATTACTGTTGCTACAATTATTCAATAATTAAAATAAGGCTGATTTTTCCAGCTACAGTAACTGGCAAAAGTTAATATCACAGTGATGGTGCATGATGAGCATCTGAAAAAGGTCTTGGGGTAAATGGACATCTAAAAATATAAAAATTTATTAAAGCGACCCTATAGTCTCCAAAACAACTTTAGCTTAATGAAGCAGTTTTGGTGTATAGAACATGCCCCTGCAGCCTCGCTGCTCAATCCTCTGCCATTTAGGAGTTAAATCCCTTTGTTTATGAACCATAGTCACACCTCCCTGCATGTGACTTGCACAGCCTTCCATAAACACTTCCTGTAAAGCAGGGGTTCTCAACCCAGTCCTCAAGGACCCCCTACCAGTCCAGGATTTAGGGATTACCCTGTTGTGTCTAAAGTGTTTGTCCTCCCCACCCCTAAAAGCACATTAGACAGAGCAGGGTAATCCCTAAATCCTGGATAGTTCGGGGGCCCTTGAGGACTGGGATGAGAACACCTGCTGTAAATAACCATCCTTTATTGCAAATTCAGTTTAATTTAGAATTCATCACCTGCCCTGTTAATAACATGCTAGACCGTGCAGGTGCCTCTTGTTTGTGCTTAAACTTCAATTTGCAGAGCAGTAGATAAAAAAAAACGTCTAAAGTAAGTTACCATCTGTTTGAAAATTAAATAATTTTATTTTTCTAGTGGATACTGTGTGAGTCACAGCCAGGGGAGGTGTGGCTTGGGCTGCATAATATGGAAGCAAAAGTAATTTGATTTTAAAGGGACACTATAGTGCTAGGAATGCAAATCTGTATTCCTAGCACTATAGCTCCTTTCCCCCCTCCTACTGCTCCATGCAATGAAAGGGTTAATAAACTCTTAATGTACTAGCCCGATTCCAGCACCGATGTTCCTGGGCACCCCGCCCCCTTCAACAGCACCTGCAAGGTGGACGCTAGTGCGCATAGGCTGCAAATGCTGCAAGTGCGTTACGCCCTCCCCCATAGGAAAGCATGGCTGCAATGCTTTCCTATGGGAAATTGACTGAAGCTGGATATCCTCATGTAGAGTGTGAGGACGTCCAGCGTCTGTCAACCAAAAGACACCTAACCACCAGGAAGTACCTTCCGTGGCTTTATGACTTACAGCCACTAGAGCCAGTCTTAACCCTGCAAGGTAATTATTGCAGTTTCTCAGAAACTGCAATAATTACGATTGCAGGGCTAAGGGGACAGGGTCACTGCAGCCAGACCACTTCAAATTACCTGGTTGCCTAGTAGAGAATTGAGCAATGAGACTTCAGAGGCATAATCTACACACTAAAACTGCTTCATTAAGCGAACATTGTTTTGGTAATTACTGTATAGTGTCACTTTAATGCTGTTCGTGTACAGCTTTTAGCCAATTCACAGAGAAAAGCTCACTACTCTGCAACCATTTTATAAAAACTTCCGTACATGTCCCATTGTACAGCGCTACGGAATTTTTTGGCGCTATATAAATAATAAAATAATAATAATAATAATAATAATAATAATGTCTTTTCTTGTAAGACTCAAAAAAGTTTGCTAAAAAATTCTAACATATAGTATAAATTGCATTTTACTGTAAAGTAGTCTTTGCAAATATTGTGAGGAAAAAAAATGCATGACCAAGTTTAATTATACTTAAAGATTTGATTAGATTCCCCTCAAATGTCTCAAAAAACACTTTTTATTGGTTAAAAATATCTTTGTATTCCATTCATAGTCGTAACGGTTCATTGATGTTGACTTGCATGGTACGTCTTGAAACCACTTGCAAATAATTGTATACAGTCATGACTTGTGTCTGTAAAAAAACTAAAATGTCTGATTTAAAGGAGAACTGTCCCTTACTATTATTTTTAACATTTTGTTTAAATATTGAAAAATAATAGATATAATTAAATATGTGGACTATAAAATAAAATGTAGACATCCACTCCTTTTTTTTCCAGGATGCCTTGGCTCCCTGTCAATCATTGCTACAAGTTCTGTCCTTTGCAATTGACCGTTAGAGTTAAATCATACAGAGAAAATGAGAAATGAAACAATGTTTCTATTTCCCTTTCTGATTTGCATTGTATGCCCTGGCCGTGCCTTGACTGAACTGGATTATGACGTAATTGTCTAAATGTTTAAGATAAATTTAAAAGTAAAGGATCACAGGAACACTGGTTAAAACAAATTTATAGGTTGTTTTTAAAGGACAAACTCTGTTTCCTGGCACTATAGGGTCGTTAGGTCCACCCACCTTTAGGGCCCCCTCCTGCTGGGGTGAAACTGCTATGTTTACATCTGAAGGGTTAAAACCTGGGGAACCTGGCACCCAGACCACTTCATTGAGCTGAAGTGGTCTGGGTGCCTAGAGTGGTCCTTTAATGTTTTAGTCAAGTTGATCATTTACAAATACAATTTCATGTTTTGTGTTTTAGGCCTCCATGGTTCAACTGGGAAAGAGTTGGTGAAATGTTGGCTCCCACTCCAGGCTGCAAATGGATGACCTCGGAGGCTTGCAGTAACCTCCTAGATGTACTTGGAATTGATGTCTCTAAGAAGGTAATTAGTATTTCTGTATTTATTTCTTACCTTGTAATATGAAACTTGTGTTTACATTAATTAAATGTAATTTTTTAAAATAAGGCAAAGAGGGCAATTTGGTAAAGTGTGAGTAATTTTTAAACCGTTGCCATTTTTGGCCTTCATTTGCAATATGCTAGCCTATTCACCAATGGTGACTGTTATAAATCACTTATCCATATGTAATGGGAGTCAGTTAATGTAACTGCTTTTAAAATGAAAAGTAACAATGAAAATATTAACTTTTTTTTTTTTGTAAACTTGAGATGGTTAATGTTCGTTTTATACTATTGTAATTCTATCATAGAACAAGAGGGTGTCAAAATAATTTTAATAAGTCTTTTGTTCCTTTATGTAGAAAACTTGGCATTAGAATTTATTAGTTGTGGTGTTGTTTATTTTTAATCTATTTATGTAAAGGATGGCCTACAACAGGGGTAGGCAACCCACGGCACTAGTGCCATGCACGGCACTCAAGGTGCTTTTGCACGGCACTCAAGGCTGCTACAGCCAAATAGGCTCTGGCCTATCAGGAGTCCCAGTAAAACTTCAGATATCTGCTAATACGTAAAGGTGGTGAAGGACAATCCTCAATTTATGCATTGCAGCACATAGAGGAAGTGATCTCAGATCTGTAGTAGAGCAGCCTGCAGCTCCTGTCCTTGACCTGTACTAGGCCAGCCTGGTCCCCACTGGAACCCATGAAAGTCACCCACACTGCTAGATATACACAGAAATGCACAATAACCCTCCCCTCATACAAATAATACGAACAGCCCACAAATGTAGCCCGCTAACAATCCACATACATGCACACAACCCCACTAGCAGCCCCTCACATGCAATACCCCAAACAGCCTCCACACACTACCAAACACACAATGTGACATATCCATCCACACACAATTCCACAAGCAGCCCCCATACACAGCCCACATTCATATGTATCATACACGATACCATAAACTACTTGGGAACATATACAATCTAATAGCTCATATACGCACAAATACAACAATACAAATCAATTACAGTATAAATAACACAAGCAGAATACGGCAGCATACACACCTCAATTTAAAAAAAAAATAGGACCGGCACGCTACGGGACATCTCAATCCTATATCGGCACAGTGCTGCTAAAAGGTTGCCTACCCCTGGCCTACAATATTGGACCGTAATATACACCATATGTATTACATATTAGTGAATGAGATTGTAGATATACTTTTAAGATATAGTGACTTTTTATTAAACAAATTTTTAATTTTGCATTTAGCCTTCGGAAACTAAAGACCAAATCACGGATGATCTTATTGGTCATAAAACTATTAATGGTGGAACCATGCACACAGTGAGCAATAAGGCTCTTATTAAGACCAAGGTATGTTAAATCTTTTTTTGTTTGGGGTTTATATTCCAAAACATAAGAAACTGTCTGACCTTTCTTGTTGGTTACATGTAATATATGGTAAACTGACCCATGCACTCCACCCATTCCATTAAATATTCAGATTTACCGTATATACTAGAGTATAAGCCAACCCGAATATAAGCAGAGGCCCCTAATTTTACCACAAAAAACTGGGAAAACTTATTGACTCGAGTATAAGCCTAGGGTGGGAAATGCAGCAGCTACTGGTAAATTTCTAAATAAAATTAGATTCCAATAAAATTACATTAATTGAATATTTATTTACAGTGTGTGTATAGAATGAATGCAGAGTGTGTGTTTGTATGTTGTGTGTGTGTGTGTGTATATAATGAATGCAGAGTGTGTTTGTTGTGTGTGTGTGTGTATATAATGAATGCAGAGTGTGTGTTTGGTGTGTGTGTGTGTGTGTGTGTATATAATGAATGCAGAGTGTGTGTTTGTATGTTGTGTGTGTGTGTGTATATAATGAATGCAGAGTGTGTTTGTTGTGTGTGTGTGTGTGTGTGTGTATATAATGAATGCAGAGTGTGTGTTTGTTGTGTGTGTGTATATAATGAATGCAGAGTGTGTGTTTGTATGTTGTGTGTGTGTGTGTGTATATAATGAATGCAGAGTGTGTTTGTTGTGTGTGTGTGTGTGTGTGTATATAATGAATGCAGAGTGTGTGTTTGTTGTGTGTGTGTGTGTATATAATGAATGCAGAGTGTGTGTTTGTGTTTGTGTGAATGCAGTGTATTTGTGCAGTGTGTAAACTGGGTGAGGGGAGGGCATTTAATTTTTTTATTTTAATATTATTATTTTAATATTTGCATTATTTAAAAAAAAAAAAAATGTTGTCCCCCCAAAAAAACATTTAAAAAAAAAAAATGCAAATATTAAAATAATATAATAATATTGAATCCCTGGTGCTCCAGTTGATGGGCTGTGCAGTGGGGGGGCTGGCGGTGAGCTTTAGCCGAGGTTTTCGGCACATTTTTTGTGCTGAAAACCCCCCACTCGGCTTATACTCGGGTCAATGTCTGTATTATGGCAACTTACATTGCCATAATACAGACCAGGACTGCCGGGCTCATTACAAGCCTGGCGGTCCTGTTGGGGGCTGACAGCGAGCTGTTACTTACCTTCCTGCAGCTCCTGTAAGCTCCCTTCTCCTCTGTGCAGCTCCCCTGTCAGCTCCGTTCTGCTTACAGTGTAAGTCTCGCGACACCCGCTTACACTCTGCAATGTAAGTTGCCATAATACAGACATTGACTCGAGTATAAGCCGAGTGGGGGTTTTTCAGCACAAAAAATGTGCCGAAAAACTCGGCTTATACTTGAGTATATACGGTAGTTTGTGGTCAGATCTGTCCACTGTCCAAACATGTAAAAGTCATTCTAGCTACATTGGCAGCTGTTCCTGTAACAATATTATGTGTCACCTGTTGGTTAGGAATTTGAAATATTGACCATAGTGCACACACCTGTATAACACAGATTCCTGAAAAAAAATTTAGCCACAGTAGCTAAATATAGGAAAATATTTAAATAACATTTGCAACTGACTTGCAAATCTCCACAAAGCTTCAAATTTAAAAGAAACACAGTAACGGGTCATTCCGTAACTGAATCGGTTATATCGAAAATTGATTTTATTTACTGAATCTTACAATGTGAAATCGTGACGAGAATTAAAATTTTTAAGTTAAAAATCACAAAAACTGGAGGCAGGAGATGTGGGGAGAGTACCAATTTACCAAATAAGCCTGAGTATGTGTGTGGCAAATTCCTCAAATGGTTTTTTTCAGATGGTTATGCAACAAACTAGAAATTTTTTGTGAATGCAACATTTTCTGTCAAAACAGACACGCGGGAAAAAAATGTGTTTATTTTTGTTTTCCTAATTTTGGACTCAATTTAATATAATTGGATAAGCTTTTCAGATGCTTTTAATATTTTTGGATAAACTTTTTAAAAAAAATGGTTTTAAAACATCAAATAAAGATTTCAATATATGTAACAAAATTTTAATTATTTTTCATGATATTAAATCATTTTAAAAGTTTATCCAATGGTTTATCTATTAGTTTTTTTTTTCTGTTTTGTATCTCCTGTATTACTTTGACATATGCAAGCTGACTAAATGAAGGAGTTTGACATAAAATCTAAAATTCTTTTTTTCTTTTTTTTTTTTTTTTTTGTTACAGCTACATGTGGCCCCAGATTCTAAGGATGGACACCTCTTCTCATACCATCTCTTTTTAAAGAATTCGCCGACTGATCTCAATTTACCTTTTCTCACATTTTATGGAAAAAAAAGCTTTTTCAATACAAACATTTTAAGCCTTGATTTCTAGATTCTTGGCTTAACATAGTTCTGGCTTTTTTTTTTTTTAAATCTTTTTGGACTTATTTAAACATTTAGTTGTGTATATTAAAGTGCTTAATTTATTGCACTACACACTTTAACGTTACTGAACAAAATGTTAGCTCTTCTAAAACACTACTATTAATAAGATAACAAGATCGTGATTTTACATAAAATGAAAATGGCCACCTTGAAGTATGTGAAATTAACAGATTAAACACTCCAATAGCCAGGTGATATTTAAAATAAATAAATAAAAAGTTTTGTTTAATAAGCAGGAGTGCTTATTTGGCAAGAGGCTATAGGCTAGTTGATAACTTTTTTTTTTTTTTAATTTTTTTTTTTTTTTTCCATGTGGATCGAAGTGCTTTTATTTAGACTTTAGAAGTCGGCATAACATGCATTTGATGAATTTTTATTAAAGGGATTTTTTTGGTGCTGACTATGTCAGAGATCCCTCATTTTTATCTGAACAATGTTCTAGACATTTTTCAAATACTTATCGGTAAACTCTTATTGCTAAGATTCTAAATTAAGAATTTAAAAATATACTCCCTGTGGCTGTATCACATAATTTGTTTTGGTATCTAGAATTTAATGTATAGATCATGATCCTGCAGTCTCACTGTTCAATTCTCTGCAATTTAGGAGTTAAATCCCTGTTTCTGTCCATGCAGCCCTAGCCACACCTGCCCAGGCTGTGACTCACACACCATGCATGAAACAAAAAAAATGGTTTCCCTTTCAATTAGATGTAACTTACTTTAAACGTTCTTATTGCCTGCTCTCTAAAGTAAACGTTAATCATACACAGGTGGCTGTGGGGTCTTGCAATCTATCAACAGTGCAGGGAATAATACATTTTAAATTTAAATAGAGTTTGCAAAGAAGGAAGTATAAACATTAGCTGACTCTTTACAGGAAGTGTTTAGGAAGGCTGTGCAAGTCACATGCAGAGAGGTGTGACTAGAGTGCATAAACAAAGTGATTTAACTCCTAAATGGCAGAATATTGAGCAGTGACACTGCAGGGAAATGATTTATACACCAAAACTGCTTCAATAAGCTAAAGTTGTTTAGGTGACTATAGTGTCCCTTTAAGCTATGATATCGCAGGCAGTTGTCCAAGCACGAGCCAGAGAATAGTTATAATCTACCTGCAGACCTAGTCATCGAGGTAGTAGAGTCCCTTTTAAAGCTGATCTGTTTCTTATAGCATTATGACTTTTCTAGAATGATAGATTTTATTCACTTAGTCTTCGATTATAAATTTAAATCCATTAGTCAAACTTGAAACATTCTTCCATTCAGCTGTGGTCAATTTAAGGTTTAGTGAATTTGTATTTTTTTTATATATATATATATTTTAGAATTTCATTGCAATTCTAGAGAAGAAGAAAAAACATACTCCTTTGAGTCTATGCATTTGAACAAAAGCACAACTTGAAACTGAATTAAGCTCCAGTTGTTCCCCCCCTTTCATCCCCCGAGGATCTGCAGGCTTATGGGATTGTCCATAGCCCCCCTTCTATTTTCTTCCACAACTAGAAGTTTGCAAATACTAGGAGAAAGCAGACAACCCCTATTTACCAATTCTTCCAGAATTCTCAACCAACCCAACCTATTTGGAACAATAATTAAAAAAAAATTTAAAAAAATGCGGACACCACCGGCAGTAACAGATTAGTTTTAAAGACCTGGTTAACAAATCATGTATAATGTACAAATAGAATGCGCCATTCTAACTTGTAGAGGGTTTATGCAACTAAGTAAAGCTTTACCAAATCTCTACACGCTTGATCCCTCTGTATAAACTACTTAAACAGATCTGAAATCTATAATGTCCACTGTGAGCAAATGAGATGTATTTTGTTTAATGAAAAATAATCGACAGTTCTGGAAAGTATTGTATTTTACTTTTTATACATAAAATGTAATTTATATAGCACTTTTTCACAAAAGTGCAACAAATAAATGAATCACTGATTACATATTGAGTATTATTTGCTTAAATCAGGTTGCTATAAAAACATGTTTTTTTCTAGTCAGAGAGTCGTAACTAGAAACCACGGGTTTCCCCCATACGTCCCCACCCCCCACACATGCAGACAGATACACATGCAGACACACACAGATACATACACACAGAGACCCATACAGACATTCATATAGATACACACACAAATTATTCATATTTTTACAATTTAAAAATGTCCACCCAGCCTCCCTACCTACTTGGAGAGCTGGCGTGGATCTGTCCCTGGGATCCAGTGAAATGTAAAAATGTGTTTTCTAAGGATGCCCCCAAAGGTAATGGGCCTCCTGGGTGTACAGAGATTAGGTGTGCCAAAGGTGAAGCAATATAGTAGTGTTGTATATTGTAAATTCTCATTCCTCCAATATGTGTTGGCAAGCATCCCACCTAGGTGTAGACTTTTCTTCCATATGAAAATTAAGATTGAATTTTGTTTTATGTCTGACGTTCTTAACCTATATTGTGATTTGGAAAGTCCTAAAGACACAAGGGTTGAGAAAATATACATTTTCACTGTGTAAATTCTTCTAGTCCAGGATAATTCATGCTCGGCCAATGTTTTCAGGGTCTTTTGTTTTAGTTTCAGGTGGTTACAATTAATACGTGCATAGCTTTATTTTGCGTTTTTTCACACCCAGGTAAGTCAATGCTTTCCTCTAATCAAAAGGATATTTGACCTGCAGCACAGCTATGCTATTTCTATAAATGAGGCATTGATTTTGTAATAGGACACTGTGCCATAATATTTCAGAATGTTCGGGAGTGATGGCAGTGTTACATTTGGGTTTGTGAGGCACATGAGGACATCATCCACAAAAAAGGTCAACTTTTGTTTGTCTCGGTCTTTCTGTAAACCCTGTATTTTTGGATTAACTGTACTAGCACTAAAATAAAAAAATATAAGAGGGGGCAGCCCTATCTAGTTCCGTTTGATATTACAAAGGGTTCTGAAAGGAACCCAGAATTAGGGGGCAGGACAAGGAGCTCTTTCACACTACGCGCGCGCACACACACACACACACTGCATCCCTATACACACAAACATAACATGCTTCCCTTACACACAGAGAAATACACAATGCAACCTTACACATAAAGACAGTGCATCCTTTGCACATATACACAGAAACACACAATGCATCCCTTACACACACACACACACACAAACACAATGCATCTCTTACACACACTCAATGCACCCCATACAGACACACACTGCATCCCTTACATACACAGAAACACACTTTGCATCCCTAATGCATACAAACACAGATTCACACAATGCATCCCTTACACACAACAAGAAACACACAACACATCCCTTATACACAAACACACACTGCTTTCTATCCTTTATACACAAACACACACTGCTTTCTATCCCTTACACACAAACACACTGCATCACCTACACACACTGCTTTCTATCCCTTACACACAAACACACTGCATCACCTACACAAACTGATATCCCTATACACTACACTCCATATGCACACACACTAGATACTCTACAATAACACATAACACATCCCCTACACATTCCACCACCTGTGAGCGAACTCATGGGTGGAACATGTAGGTGGACTTATGGGTGGGCCTTATGGGCATACTCACAGTCAGGCCCTGGGGCCCAGACCTTGAGCTGTGTAAGGGGCCCCAAAAAATGGAGCTGCTTCCCGTTCTCCCAGAACATTGAATTTTGTGACCACAGTTACAAACAGCCTCCAGAGATCCTGTTCTACACCAGACCAGTGGAGCCAGACTGCAGCCAGAGCCCATCACCATCCTCATCTGATTGTAAGTAGGCAATCTAGTATATTATTAGTGACACTAATCTCTAATTTACCTCACATTAAAGGGACACTATAGTCCCCAGAACCACTGCAGCTTAATAAAGTGGTTCTGGTGTCTATAGTTTGTCCCTGCAGGCTTTTTAATGTAAACACACACTGTGTGCAGTACTGGCGTTAGTTCATATGGCAGATCATATGGGTGGGGCATTGCGATGTCACTGGGGGTGGGCACAGCAAATCTTTCTTTTGCCTAGGGCGGCAAAAATCCTTGCACCGGCCCTGATTAGAGTAGCCAAAAAAATCATTGCAGCGGCACTTACTACAGCAAAAGCTATTTACAAAGAAAGGCTACCTGGGGTTCTGCATGAAATAATAGTATATAGGTGCAATGGTAATAGTAATATATATTTAAACAAAACATTCTTAGTACCATGGGCAAAACTTGTGTCTCAGGAAAAAAAAAAAAGTTATTTATGCTGGCAAACCGTAAGTTCAGAAAGGCTTACCAATGTCCCAACATCTATGAGTAAAAATGTGATATAAACAAACAGTAGCATAAAGCACTTATCAATATTCTAAAAAGGAATCCCTGCATGTAGGGGTGTGATACTACCTACTAAGGTGTTTTACATAACAAATCCTCTGAAAGATCATAAAGTAATAAAACAAAAATGTTTGTTAATGAGTCTTTAAATGCAGGCACCTATTAAATACAGCACAATATATAACTTAAATCATAACCTTTATTAAATTAACAGTCAGCAACAATCTGTTGTATATCTGTTCTTAGCAGCACATTTCCATAGGAAACCCCAGGTTTACAAGTCAATTTCACAAACAAAATCCATTTATATATTTTTTTTTCTACAAAGTTAAACAAAATTTAGCCTAGCTTTTGAAAAGAATTAGCTAAAACATAAAGTAAAAAGGCATACTTTTTAAACAGTAACAATTCTCAAATGAGTATTAAATCTTTCTTATTGCAGTCTGGTTTAGGATTAAACCTTTTTTTCCCCCACTTTAGTCTCCCAAGCATTTGTTTATCCAGTATTTTGTGATGTCAATAAGGACTTTTCTTTTAACCCCTTAAGGACCAAACATCTGGAATAAAAGGGAATCATGACATGTCACACATGTCATGTGTCCTTAAGGGGTTAAAGAAAATTAGAGAGTATTCTAATCCAACAACAAAGATCAAGGTTGGTCATCATTTGTGATTGTTTTAATGGAACTGCCATTCCTAACCCAATAGCAGTAGTTTTATTTCATGAACACTCCACCATATTGACTACAAAAAGCTTTAGTGGTCATGCCAGGAGTGGCTGATACCCCCACAAGTAAGTAGCCAAACCATTTCAGTTTGACTTTGTAGTGGAGGTCAGCTGTGCATCACTCCCCTACTCTTCTTCTTCCAACAGAGAACCAGCAGCTCTTTGAGCCTCTAGAATGGGAAATGCAAGAGCACTCCTTGCACCAAAACCACTACAATGCGCAGCTGTAGGTATGTTGCTTGGAGTGCTCATTTAAATCCATTTTTGTCTCATAAAATGAACATAGTTAGAAAAAAAAAAAAAAGAGAACCGGATAACTTAATTACTGACCAGTGGCACTACACTATCATAATAAATATATATATATATATATATATATATATATAAAAATATCATTGTTACATGTTCCACAAAGTTGAACTGTAAGATGAACATTAGTGATGGGTCAACTGCCATGTCCTAAAACACACCTCCTCACAAAGTTTAGTAGTACTGGAAGCCATTCAATGTTCAAAAGTTGCCTTATAAAAGAAAATTAAACAAACATTCTTCTACAGAAAGATCAGTTTGTGATTTGCAAGACAGTGTCTGACCATTAGAAAGTTTAAAGCGATGGTAGTTTCATAGTATTTCCAGAAATACCAACATTGATCTTGGTCATTAGACCATGTAAGCGCTCATGTCCTAGCGTGAGTATACAGCAGCTGATCAGATTGGCAGTCAGGCCAGCAAAGGATTATACAGTGAAACCAAATCCAGAACTGCACTCAATCCTAAAAGATACAGTCCTGGGTGTAACCAAACCAGGAACCAGCTCCCAATTACCCGTGGATATAAGAAAAAAAGATCCAGGCACTCCCGGAGATCGATGAGGAAAAGTTTAATGAAACCCAACAATCAGCAACGTTTCCACGTAAATGGCCGTAACGTTGCTTGAAAAAGACCATGTAAGTGGAAAGGTTGGGGAATGTTGGATTTCATCAAACTTGGTCTCATCGATCTCCTGGAGTGCCTGGACCTTTTTACTTACATCTAAATTATTATACTGTGATCCATGACGCCTACAACATGGATGGTATACCTGCAACAGACAGACTATCCAATGCTGGCATTGGTTTCACACAGATAATGCAGAAGTACATTAGAGGAGCTAGGCTTTAGGTAGGAGGTTAGACAGGTTTTTTTTTTTGTCAGATTACCAAGATATGCTGTAGTGGTTATAGTGCCCCTGTAAGTTTGCATCCATCAGTAGCGCTTTTTTTTTTTTAAACTCAATATCTCACACGAAAAGTGTGTGTGCGATTTTTGTTTGGCCTATCACCCTGAAACATACAGCATTGTGACTGTATTATCATTTCCTGCTGCTATTTCTAGATAGCAAGTTTGCAGATAAACAGTTTAAGAAGACAGAGATTCTAACAGAGGTTCCACAGCATTTGCCCATCTTGTCCACAATTATGACCCATCTGTGCTACACCCTGAATCTGAACCAGTTGTCCCTAGATTGTGCCTTACCTATTCTCATATAAATAATCAGCCTATTTCTGTTGACTTATAAGAGCATGCAAGAGTACAAAAATAAACACATATGCTTTGTATGTATGCATGAATTCATGCTAGCTTCCTGTGCACTGACTTGGTGACTCACTAGTCTGGTATCCTGTACACCGTGAGCACAGATGGATCTAGATTTTACATACCCTTTAAAATGATGTTCCTACAGGTTTTACAACCATGCAATTAATTACTGAACCAAATAAAAATGCAGTAGCACATCTGCAGTATTGACCTCAATTGTGGAACGCTTATCTGCTCATGGTAAGCCCCGTTTACTAGGTGAACCTCTTATCAAACTACCAAGCCGCAGTGGGATTTCTTGAGCAGGTTTTACATCAGTCCTAATGTTAAACACTATCAACTCAGAATGTTAAAGAAAATATGGCAACTGGCACGCATCTATTGAGGCAACGTATTTCTATTAACAAAAATAATGCATTATTCACCACGTTTACCAGTATTAAACAATATAAAAATGCAGATGCCTGGCGGTTAAAATGGATCCGTAAAAGAGGTTATCAGTCTCTATATTTCTCCTCTTGGTTTCAATACGCAGAATCTGCTTGGGGTTATTTGAGGACAGCAGCAGTTAACTTCAGCAAATAGCCTACTCATTCCAGCAAGGCTTAACCCATTCATGGTATGGGTTTATCAAGCCTGCTTTGCTACAAAGTGATTGGCCTCACTCCTGGTCACTAAGAGGTTGGGCATAGCAATGCTGATTATGAGAAGAGGTATGGCATTTGTTTCATACTAACATAGGAAGGAAGGCTCCTACTATTAATTGCATGAACAAGACAGAAGGAATGAATAATAAGAGTTTGGGAAGGCTGACAATCAACTTGTAGGCCAAAAATCAGAATTGTAAGGTTTATAACTCGTTTTATTTAAAAACTGGAAGTTTGCCCTTCCACATGACAGTAAGATAGTATAAATACACAGCACCTACCGGCAAACACACCGTTCAGAGCACCACATGAAACTAACTGCAAGAAATTTGGCACTCAAAAGGGCGTGCGTTGATATATCTGTATCCTTTCTATGCAAGGCAACGTTTTGGCTACCAACGTCCTTTTCCAAGGCTTAAGTAAATATTATTGAAGCCAAAAGATCACCCTGAGAGCTTTGAATAAAAAGCTATTCAAATACCCCTTTTGAGTGTCTATTCTGTTCTATATGCAGGACAGCTGTACAGGCACAACTTCCTGCACACACTTATATGTAAAGGTAATAATGTTCATTTTATTGTGTTTTTATAGAAAATATATATATGGTCAGTGCAATGCAGCAGGTACTTTTCTGCAGGGGAAAAGATGGTGGGTGGGAAATAAGAATATAGAATGGCCTCCAAATTAGATGGTAACGAACATCACGTACAGAGCTCTGAATATTTAACTTTGTGCCAAACTCGGAAATGTCCAAAGCAAAACAATGAGTTTGGTGGGATAAGTCACATGGCATTTGATACAGGGCACAGCAGAATACCCAGTGGCATAAAATTAATTAAAAAAATACACAAAGGTTCTCTCTTTTTTCTAACACTGCCAGTGAAAAACAAACAAAAACAAAACACACAATTCCATACAATCATAAAACATTTTTTGCAAGTATTGGATTTCTCATAAGACATATGTATTGGCAACAAAGTCTACGGTTATCTGACCAAAATGACAAATATTCTCTCTTGGTTTTTTTATCAAGCAGATTATTACAGAGGTAAACAAGTATCATTCGCACAATTTCATTTCAAATACACAAAACAACTGCCAAATCGCTAGCACATTGGAGGAAAAAACAGGGCACTGTTTTAAGTAGGTGCATACTAGGTAAATTTATAGCAAAAGGCTTCATATATTTTGTTATATGGTTAGCTTACTTACAAAATAGAAAAGTAGTCTCTTTACAAATTTCCATAAATATGCATTGTGACAAAACAAGCTCATTCCTTTTATAATAAAAATTGGAAAAATATTATGGATAAAAAGACAGCAAAATAAACTTTTTGATGGCAAAATGCAATTGCTTTTGTGAGTGCATTATCCATACAGTGATCCACCACAACATAAAAACCACCTGCCAAATATAATGTAGGTACCCCTTGTGCTGCCAGAACAGCTCTGAAGCATCAAGGCATGGATGCCACAAGACCTCTGAATATGCCCTGTGGTATCTGGCATCAACACCTTAGCAGCATATCCTTTAAGTCCTGAAAGTTGTTAGATGGGGCCTCAATGGATGAGATTTGTTGTTCTAGCACATCCCACAAAAAGTCAACACCCTGCAAGACCTGCCGTTTTGTAGAAGCTTGTACTCCGTCATCTTGCCATCACTATTTGGACTTTGCCGAAGAGTTTACTTTCCCGTTATTCCCACTTCCAACACATGAAATTCATAATTGGACTGTTTAATTACTGCCTAATATATCCCACCCCTTGACAAGTGCCATTGTAACGATATAATCAAGGTTATTCACTTCACCTGTCAGTGGTTTTAAAGTTGTGGCTGATCGGTGTATAATATGCAACAAATCTTATGGTAAATCTAACTTGGGTTTGAAATCATTTTATGCATACAAGTACATTTCTAAATTCTTTTTTTGTCATCGCACGGCAAGCATTGCTTAACCTACTAGAAGAGGAAAGGTGCAGCGTTTAAATACAAAATTAGAGCAAATCTGAATCAGATAAAGATGCATAGTTTGTTAAAAACATGGTTATTTCATATTTTAACATAATTTCTTTATACAATTCATGAATACAACAAGCCAATAGTCCAAAATATTTTTCATTCCAGCTTATTAATTAAGCTAGAATAAACAAAAAATAAAAAGATTCAAATGTACTTACTAGTCCTTTAGTACAAAGTTAATGAGAGACCATCGCGTATAAACATGTTATGCAAGGAAAAAAAAAAAAAATCCTAGCAGAGATTTGGGAGTTGGACAAAAACTCAGATTTCTGAGGTAGGGAAAGGTATGAAATCTACACACCCTTCAAGAGAAGAAATCAACAGATTGCCTCAAATGCAAAGGTGCCAATTTGCCTACAAAATATAATAATGAAAAAAAAAAAAAGTTACTCAAGGCAAAAAAAAAAAAGTTATATATATCTAAAATAATTTACAAGATAACATTTGATCTGCAAATGAAAAGGTGACTTAAAATAACTACATCTTCCTACAAACAAAATATAACAGAAGCAAAGATACAGCACAAGAAATGGTTTAGCACATGGCCTTAAAGAGGTAGAGTCCGCTATATACAAGAGGTGACCAGGAAAATTTAGAAAGATGCTTACAAAAATAGTTGTTTTACTAATCTTTGAAAATGTAGGGCTTTGTTGAATTTCAGTATTTTCCAGTTAAAAAGGTTGCTGCAAAAGTCTCTGAACAGTCACTTAGCAGGAATCCATAGGAAGTGTCCAACCCAAAAAGTATAAACGTAAAATCGAAACTGTCTCGAGCTGGGAGCACTGTAAACTACACATCTTAAGATATTTAGATATAAGTCTCTTCAAATTATGTAGGAATTTTAAAATATTTTCCCAAAAATGAACACTAGATGTGTATTTGATAAATACAGTAATGAGGTTAAGAAATTTGGTGTCATGACCCAACTAAAATTTCCATGATATGGTCCAAATCATTTAAATCCGTTCTGCAAACTTGCAAATTATTGTTTGAAGGTGAATTGCACAAAGTAAACATCTTGAGAGCCTCCTCCGAGGTAGGCTGCATTCTTGGGGAAACTAAAGAAGAGAAACTAAAGTCTGAATCATACATAGATGTGTCTATGTCTTCAAAAATGTCATCAATAGACAGATCCTTTAAGTAACTCGTAGAACTCGTTATTTCAAAAGAACCAAACATACATTCCGCTCCTTTTAAGTCTTGTTTGTCCCCCGCTTTGCTTCCATTGTCCAGAGGTTTTGGTTGATCTTCTGGCACAAGGAGCGGGGTTTGAGCTGGGCTGGTGTCCTCCATAAAGTCTAAATCTCGGAGAATAGAGGATATGGCCGAGGACATGTCATCATCTGTAACTTCCATCAAACAGTCAGCAGGGTTCTCCAAACTCCAGGAGTCTTTTGAAATGTCTGGGCTTGTGTCACAAGCCAAGTTTATGGAGTTCTCACAGGAATCGCTACCTGTGTAGAGTATGGCGTTGGAGGCAACATCATTACATACAATCCCTGGCAGCTGGCTAGCTTCTTGCCTGGTTTCTTCCTGAATTTGTCTAACTGTATTGGCTATAAGAACAGATCGATGCAGGTTAGGCTCCACTAACATTTTATAGTTTTGTAGCTTACTGAGGCACATGTTTAGCACCAGCTGCCTTTGATGAGTGTATGGCATGTTATTTCGGTTGCAATCACAGACACTAGAGAAGTCGTTCATGGTTTCGCAATCATTCACCTTGCGCTTAAGTCCTCTACCAAGCATGAGTCTGCGGAGATAAAATTTTAAGAAGACATTATGGCGAGTTGAAGGACAATGTATTGGTATGCAGAGCTATGCAGTTGTTGGAGAAAGCGTTCTGTTTAATGAATTCATAGTATTTTATAATGTGAAATAATGAGTCTTAACGTATGTATCACACAGCATTACATAAAAGTTGAGAAGCTTAACTGAAGTATGCTTTATAGTATCAAAAAGTGTTGTTTTTACACCATTCCTTACACTGAATAAATTCAAGACAAACCTGGTTAAACGATTTACAATCACTGTATCCCAGCAATATCTACCCTAGTTACAGAACAAAGGTTTATCGGATATAACTCTACACATATTGCACAGTGCAGGTTTACATTTACTTGTTTCCTAGCTTTGTACAAAAAAAATAAATAAATAAATAAATAAAATTTTTTCAACTGAACGATTAGTGCTTCTTCTAAATAAAGACCAGGTGGCCATTTGGCTTTAATCACCTTAAAATATGCCACTGAGCTCCACAAGTTATTGGGGGTTGGGGAGAATAAGAGAAGATCTTTGCGTACTTCAGTAATAACTTCCAGATTATGGGCAAGCCTGGTGGAGACTAGTGGTCTGGGTTTAGAGATAGATATAGATATATAGATATATATATATATATATATATATATATATATATATATATATATATATATATATATATATATATATATATATATATATATATATATATATATATATATATATATATATATATATATATATATATATATATAAAAACAAGAGGGGGTTGGCTGCACTCACCTGAACATGCATAAATGGGGGTGCTGCTGGGGGCCAAAAATACAATACACAAGATCCAGCGCACTCACCTATCCACTAAACAGCAACCAAAGATGGGGTACATTGAAGTTGTGGCAGGCTTATGCAATGTATGATCATATAATGTAACTAAAGCCCCATTATTTTTGCCTAGATTAGGCGTTTTTAAAAAAACAAATAAAATCTTTCAACATTGAAGTTGCTGTTTAGTGGATAGGTGAGTGCGCTGGATCTTGTGTATTGTATTTTTGGCCCCCAGCAGCACCCCCATTTATGCATGTTCAGGTGAGTGCAGCCAACCCCCTCTTGTATACAGGGCCGGACTGGGAATTAAAAGCGGCCCTGGAAAAAAAATATTTACCAGCCCCATAATGCGTCGCACCAGCATAGTGTGCAGATACAGAGTTAGAACAGATAACTTAAAATTAACCCCTTAAATCCTGAGGGCGTACTATTACGCCCTGCAGGAGCCGGCTCTAAACGCCGGCGGGCGTAATAGTACGCCCTCACTTTAATGGCCGCCCACGTGGCCGGCGCTATTCACCCGCTGCAGATCGCGGTCGGGGGGGATGCCCGGCCCCCCAGGCAACCCCCCCTGTGGCCGGTGACCGCGATCTGCAGTCACTGATCGCAGTGACAGGCTGTCACTGAGATCAGTTTTTAACATGTGTCAGCCGATTTCAAATCGGCTGACACACGTGGCCAGCGGCTCTCCCCGTGCAGATCGCGGTCGGGGGACTTACCTGGCCCCCCAGGCAGTCCCCCTGGGGTCAGTGACCGCGATCTGCACCTTCTGAGATCGCAGTGACAGGCTGTCACTGCGATCTCAGAGCGCTCTGATCGCAGTGACAGCCTGTCACTGCGATCGGTGTTACTATTGGCTGACACATGTAACTGGCACAAGGATCCCCCTGCAGATTGGAAGGGGGGAGTGCTTGTACCACCCAGGCACTCCCCCCTGTGGCCAATTACCCAATCTGCAGGAGGTGATTACAGTGACAGGCAGTCACTGTGATCACTGATCCTGTGTGTCAGCCAGTGATGTAAAATCACTGGCTGACACTGTCTCTGCCCCCTGTCCTGTAAAAATAAATAAAATATTAGTAAAAAAAAAAAAATTACAGTTAAATATAAAATATACTTAGATCATATATATTATATATATATATATGATCTAAGTATATATATATATATATATATATATATACACACACACACACACACACACACTTACACATACACGAAGTGTATTTAAATATTAATATATATAATTATTTATATATATATTACTATCAAATTACACGTAGACTAATACTGATTAAATATATATATATAATTATTGTTATATATATATTTATATATAATATAAAAAATTTAAATACGTAAAAAAAATTTAATTAAAAAAATAATTAAAAATAAATAATAAAAAAATATATAGATGTTTGTTATTTCGTTCTAACTGTATTGTGATATTAATATATATATATATTTATATCAAAATACACATAGAACGAAATAATATATATATATATATACATAAATATATACATATATATCACTAAATATATACACCTATATATAAATAAAAATATTTTAAAAAATTATATATATATATATGTATATATACACATATGTATATATATACATATATTAATTCTACACATATATTTATGTAATATTTTTACATAATTAGGTATCCTAATTAATTACAATTAGCAGGACCTGCCTGACAACCCATGCCGAAAGTAAAGGGAATTTAATTTGCTAGCACTATATTTAACCCTATAACTTTCCGAGACACCATAAAACCTGTACATGGGGGGTACTGTTCTACTCGGGAGACTTCGCTGAACACAAATAATAGTGTTTCAAAACAGTAAAATGTATTACAACGATGATATCGCCAGTAAAAGTGACGTTTTTTGCATTTTTCACGCACAAACAGCACTTACACGGATGATATTATTGCTGCAATACTTTTTACTGTTTTGAAACACAAATATTTGTGTTCAGCGAAGTCTCCCGAGTACAACAGTACCCCTCATGTACAGGTTTTATGGTGTTTTCAAAAGTTACAGCGTCAAATATAAGGCTTGTGTTTCATTTTTTTTTCACATTAAAATTCGCCAGATTGGTTACGTTGCCTTTGAGACCCTATGGTAGCCCAAGAATGAAAATTACCCCTATGATGGCATACCATTTGCAATAGTAGACAACCCAAGGTATTGCAAACAGGGTATGTCCAGTCTTTTTTAGTAGCCACTTAGTCACAAACACTGGCCAAAATTGGCGTTTTTTGCATTTTTCACACACAAACAGATACTAACGCTAACTTTGGCCAGTGTTTGTGACCAAATGGCTACTAAAAAAGACTGGACATACCCCATTTGCAATACCTTGGGTTGTCTACTATTGCAAATGGTATGCCATTATGGGTGTAAATTTAATTCCTGGGCTACTATACAGTCTCAAAGGCAACGTAACCAATCTGGCGTGCTATATTTGACCCTGTAACTTCCCAAAACACCATAAAACCTGTACATAGGGGGTACTGTTTTACACATGAGACTTTGCTGAATACAAATATGTGTATTTTATTGCAGTAAAAGCAAACAGTATTATGACATTCACAGTTAAAATGTCATGTAGAACTAAAAAAAATCTAAAAAATCTTTTCTCCCATTTTTTTCATATTAAATTAGCTTTCGTAGCTAAATATTTGATATCAAATGAAAGCCCTGTTTCCCCTGAATAAAATGATATATAATAAGGGTGGGTGCATTTACTATGAAAGAGGTGTATTACGGTTGGACAGACATGTAGCGCAAATGCCAGGTTTTGTTTACATTTTGTTTCGTTCACACTGTGTACATTTGGCTCCGTCCTTAAGGGGTTAAAAAGTACTTCAACGTAAAAAGTGCACTCATAGGCTTCAAAATAAACAAAAGTGCAGATTTATTTTAAGCAGACGTGCCTTTGCATGTAATCAATGTTTCAGTCCAACTACCTTGACAAATTAAGGAAAGCTTGTTAATGGGACTGAAATGGTGAATGTATGTAGGGCAAAACTGTAAAAAAAAATTATTTTGAAGTCCTGTGGGTGTGCTCTTCACTTTAAATATGTTATTGTGCTGGAGTATGCACCTAGCAACAAGACTGGGCCAATATCTGCTCATTACAAATGGTACATATTAATGAAATTTCTCTGTGTAATATATATATATATATATATATATATATATATATATATATACATATATATACACACACACACATATACATATAACTAATATACACATTAATATACGTCATATACCAGTGACGGATCCAGAGCCTGAGCCCGGGAGGGGCACTTGTAGATTATTTAAAGAAATATTCCATGCACAATAACCACTACTCCTCTGTGTAGTGGTTATGGTGCCAGGAGTGTCGGCACCCCCTCCCAGAATAAGTAGTCAAACCGTTTAAGAACAGTTTGACAACTTACCTGGAGTCTGCTGGGATATGGGGCTGTAGTAGGGTATAGGAGCAGTGGTGCAATGTGTGTGAAAGGTTCAGTGTGTGGGTGTGGGGGGCAGTGTGTGAATGTGTATGGTGTGTGTGGGGGCAGTGTGTGAATGTGTATGGTGTGTGAATGTGTATGGTGTGTGTGTGGTCAGTGTGTGAATGTGTATGGTGTGTGTGTGTGTGTGTGTGGGGGCGGATGGTGTGGGGCGGTGTGGATGGTGTGTGGGGACGGTGTGGATGGGTGTGTGGGGCGGTGTGGATGTGTGGTGTGTGTGGGGACGGTGTGTTGGATATTGTATGGTTGATTGTTGACGGTGTTGGATGTGTGTGGTGTTGTTGGGGCGGTGTTGGATGTGTGTAGTTGTGTGTTGGGGACGGTGTGTGAATGTGTGTATGGTGTGTGTGTTGTGTTGGGGCGATTATTGGATATTATTATGGGTGTATTGAATATTGTGGTGTTGAACTGATTGAATGTGTATGGTGTGTGGGCGGTGTGTTGAATGTGTATGGTTGTTATTGTTATTGGGCAGTGTGTGAATGTGTAGACATCCTTTGCCACTCCAGATGTTGTGGACTACACTTCCCTTGATGCTTTGCAAGCCTTAATGGAGATGTAGTAAAAAACAAAGGGAGTGTTGAAGGTTACCTACCCCTGCACTAAACCAAAAATATATATAATACAGTTCCTACACCATAAATATAATATTTAATGCTATAATATTTAATGCTCTCATCCAACCCCCTTCCCTCCACAGTTCCTAATATATTACAAATATAATTCCCTCACCCCTGTAGCTCCCTCTAGTTACATTTCCTTCTACACATACACACACATTATATATATAATATTAATTGGGCCACAAATATAAATGTCACAAATATAATCATTGCCTCATCTCAAATTCCCAAGTCAGATCTTTCCCGCCCCCCCATCCCCCTAATACACTTCTGCCCCCCCCGCCCCATTGAATACACGTCTGACCTCCCCTTCCCCCTATGTAATACACTGTTGACCCCCCTCACCCTAATTTACTGCTGTCACCCCCCTCCCCCACTACATTACTGACCCCCCAATACATTACTGCCCCCCCCTCCTAGCCCGTTGCCTGGCCCCCTCCCCTCACATTGCCCCCCCTAATACATTACTGGTCCCCCCCTCCCCTAATGCATTACTGCCCCTAAATACATTGTTACTTTACTCCCTAATACATTACTGGCCCCCCTCCCCTTCCACATTACTGGCCCCCCCTCCCCTCCTGGCTATTATTCATGGCAGCATATACACATGGGTTAGCATCTCCCCTTACAGCAGATAGGACAGGAAAACCACCAGGGTTTTTAAAGGAGGCTCCGTCCCTAAGGTCCTCAGTCAGTTTACAAGCTCTACAGTACATAAATAGAGACATTAATGGGTGGGAAGTATATGCTGCCATGAATAATAGCCAGGAAAAGAAAATTACGGTAAGTATGAATAAACTTTACATTTTCCGGGCTAATCATGGCAGCATATACACATGGGGAATACCCAAGCCTACAAAGGGAGGGACAGAATAGCCAATCAAATAATCAGAATTATCCAACATAGATAGAAGAATGAACTGAGTTAAGTACTTGAGTACCAAATTGTGCATCATAGACTATTTTAACGAACAGTATGAAATGCCAGACAAACGTGTCTAAAGAGGTTCAAATGCTAGCTTACAAAAAGTGTCAGCAGAAACCATTGCCATGGAAACCCACGATGCTGCAACAGCATGAGGTAGAGAACGGACGTGAGGTCCAAATTGTGCCTCATTAATTGCTTCAATGTCCAATATGTAATGCAGGACAAACTAGTTCAAAGAGGTCCAAATGCCAACTTTACAAAGTTTCAGCAGAGACCATTGCCATGGAAGCCCAGGAGACGCTGTAACAGCACTAGTGGAGAATGCCCCAAAATCCTTTGGTACAGGTCGAGAATGGCATTGAAAGGCTCTCACTTTAGGCAGGATCTCTGGTGCTACAACCATATCCTGTTGAAATTCAGTAAATGGGGTACACAGGATCAAACCTGGAGTCCACACATTCACCCTGCTGAGGTACCAGCCACCAGCAACAGCAAAGTCTGGGCTAACATCATGGAAGCTCCTGCTAGAGGTTCAAATAATGGTTTAGTCAGAGCCAGTGAGACCAGTGGTACGTCACATATTGGTTTCAACACCCTCAGTGGAGGCTTATGTTCAATTGTTGCTTACATGAAGCAAAGCACCAGGGGCATCAACGCTCAAAGGGTACTCTTCAGTACAGGTAGAGAATGACACATAAGCATTCACCATAGGCAGGATCTTCAGGTGCCAAATGCAAGACGACCATATCTGTTGAAAATTAGTGAAAGGGGGTTTACAGGATCAAGCCTCGAGTTCACCCATTTACCTTGCTGGGGTACCAGCCAACAGCACTTTCTGTGCTACCACCCTGGAAGCTCCTTCTAGAGATTCGAATAATGGTTTAGTCAGGGCCCGTGAGACCAGTGGCACGTCACATATTGGCTTCACCACACTCAGGGAGGCATGATTTCAATCAATGCCTATATGAAGAGATGTGCAGCTAAGTACTCCTCTAGAGTGTTATAACACAGAACCTTTCAAGGCCTGAATGAAGAGTAATTCCAACAGACAAAAGCATGTCAAGCTTTGTAAAGCCTGTATAGGATTGTAAGAAGATCTCAATGACCGTCTCAGGGATGCCTATATTAATATGGACTCCCGCATCAACACCAGAACTTGAGGATCCTGGTGTGTCAAGGGGCCTTGTAATAGGTCTGGACGTACTCGAATTTCCCTTGGAGGTTCCAGAATCATCTTATTATAGGAATTAGAGTCGACACGGTCTTCCACTGTCACCTTTTGCATTACCTTTTTAGGAAAATATGTACATCAGACTAAAATTCTAAATTTGAGTCAGTGTATCCTGAACATGAGCATTCTGGTTTTGCACCCCTCCCTGTCACAGGTGCCTCATCTCAGGGCCCTATGTAGAAAATACTTGTGGACCTGGTAGTTCCAAGAAATGGCCATCAGATCTATGTAGGGTATCAGACAATCTGCGTCAACCCCGAGGATACGTTGTGACATGGTTGCCAATCCACCTTGTCCACAGTTATTCGGCTCAAGCAAACAGCCATTGTATTCTGAGCCCCTGGTTTTTCTTCTGTGCCCTGATCATTATGGGCTGGAATTCCATCAATACGTATCTGTGAGACCCATCTTGATAGATATAGGATACAGTTGCATTGATATTTGAGCAAATTTGGACCCACTCATTCTTCAGTAAGCCTCTGAAGTGAAGAAGAGCCTTGAAAATGACTCGTAATTCCATACAAATGAATGGAAATATTGTGAAACATGGTCCAAACACTGTGCAACCAATCTTATAAAAACTGGAATTCGAGCTAATAATTGACCAATGAGGTTCTGTTCACTGGAAACTCAGAGATCTAATCCCTCTTTTCAGCTACCAGGTAAGGTGTAACTCCACTGATGGGGACATAGTCAGTGGCTGGCTCCAATAATCGTTCTCTTGTTAAACCAAGATAGGAAGGATCTGTGAGGAATCCATAGATGCCATTGGGCCCATCTGACAAGTCTGCTGGTGGAAGCCAGGATTCCTAGTAGTTGCATCTATTTTCTTGCTGTTACCAAGCAGAAATGAAGAAACTGGGAGAGAAAACCTTCACAATCTGTGGAACTGTTCCTGAGATAGGGAAAAGCAGAGCATAGAATTTTCCACTTGGGAATGTTAACCACTGAGCTGATGTGAAACTGCTTTTCTTGATATTGATCAAGCAGCCAAACTTTAGGAGTTATGAAAGAACTATATACCTCTGTGTGCCTACCTTCTGAGGGTCTAAGGCTATAATGGATAATGGAAGCAGGTGGAGTTCTGGACTCTCAATACACTATAAGCACATATAAAAGATTCTTGGGGCCCCATTGAGGCTTCTGAGCTAATGGCGAAGATCTCTGCAGATTGGACTGAAAGTAAGCATCCTTGGGATTAGAGATGTCGCAAACCGTTCGCAAACTTCCCGCGAACGGCTCGCCACGAACCGTTCGCGGCGAGCACCGGTCAGCTGACACATCCCGGCCAATCTCCAGCAGACTCTCCCTCCCAGACCCTCCCACCTCCTGGACAGCATCCATGTTGAACGGTTCGCGACATCTCTACTTGGGATATATAGAGGTAAGGAAATGATCCTTCCAGATTGCTTGAGATATGGATCTGATTGACTCCATCACGAAGAATCTGACATTCAGCCTCTTGTTGGCCCCTCTTGGTCCAGTGTAGGCTTCCATGTGCTTTTTCCTCTTAGCACCAGAAGAGAGGCAAAACTTGTTCCTGGAACTGCTCTTGGGAAAAAAAAAAAATCACCTCTTCATCCAGAATGCTTATTCCTATAGTGCTTTACCTTTTGATTCATTGGTCTTAATACACCTGTTAGTATGGAGACTCCTGTGCCTGAAGAAAAAACTCCAGTCTATATCAATCTGGACTATGGATACCACTCAAGCCTCCGGAGTTTGACGAGCCCAGGTATGTGTGATCATTAAAAATGAGGCTCCTGGTACTGGAGGAGACATGTTCATTGCTGAAGAACAAAACGACTGCTTAATAGCTCCATTAGAACCTTGAAAGGCAGGTTTACCAACTGTCCTGAGTTACCTCTGGAGTATACCCTGCAGGGTCAGTAGCTCCATGTATCTCAGAAATACTGGTCACTGGAGATTCTCCGGTCAGACTATGAGGAGCTGGGATCCTTGGAACTTTCGTCCTGAGGTACAAATATCTTGCAGCCCTCATTCGCATTTTCAATGGAATAATCCAAAGTTTTCCCAAACAGCACCACTCCAAATAGAATGGTGTAGAGGGCAGACTTGGAGGATGAGTCATCATCCCAGAAACAGAACCATAATGCTTTCTTAGCTGCTATAGATCGAGCCATTTGATCGAGAGAATATCCTAGTTACATCTAGGGAAGTTTCTGTGAAGAAGTCAGTTGTAACCTGAAGACTTCAGACTGCCTCTTCAATCTTGGTTTTTAATATCTCTCTCCATATTAGCCTTTAGATCTTTAATTACATATTTCATGTTTGTAGAAACAGCAGCGGAAGTCACAGCTGGCTGACCACCTGCAATGGTAGGTGTAAAATTTTGGACAGGTCTGCGTCCACCTATGATCCATAAGTTTGCAACTTAGGTGGTGTAGTTCTGGGGTTGGAAATAACTTCTTCCACAGGGCAAAGCCTGGCCTCTTTTCTTACCCCTAAGGCCTCTGGAACTTACTTTGTAAGCCCTGCCCGCATGTCATGTGGCTGCACAGTGATAGGTCATGCTGAAGCGACAACCTTCTGGAGGCAGTCAGTGCATAACCGATTTCTTCCACTGTTCTCTCCTCATAACCAGATCTTGGTGAAGAATCAGACATCTGACAAATAAGAATAACTAAATATTACCTGTGGTAAAGAATTAAGTAAAAATGTGCACTGTTAAATTCTATAAGAAACCAGTGAAACAGTTTTAAAACAGGCTGAAGACAGCACTTATCCATGTCTGGAGACCCTGCAAATACTTACCAAATACGTGTGGTATGTTTACTGTAATTTTCCCTTTATTTTAGGAACTTTCTGGCAATTGACCTTATCCAAGATGGCTGCCACAACTTGTATTCCCACAATGCAAGTCATCTGTATTAGGCCCATTAAGGCACAAACCACACACATGTGGGCCTATTCCGAGTGTGTTTGCGGTTTAGAGACCAAGGAGAGGACTCTGTCTGAAGTCTACATGGCCCCTAAACACCCAGGGAACCGGGAATAAATCACTGGGACAGAGGGGAAGCAAAATAGATAATAAAAGTGCCTGCAAGGAAGTTTAAAAGGAAACCAGGTGCAAAAAAAATCAATTTTAAAGGCACCACAGTCTAAAGGCCTCAAGGTATAAAAGGTAAGTTTCCAAAATGTATCACAGTTTTTAGATGCCCCGCAGTCTACAAACGCCCTGCAGTCTACAAAGACTTGCGGTATTACAGGCAACTTTAAATTAAACAGTTTTAAATGCCACACAGCTTAAAGGACCACTATAGTGCCAGGAACACACACTTTTTCCTGGCACTATAGTGCCCTGAGGGTGCCCCCACCCTCAGGGTCCCCCTCCCTCCACGCTCTGGGGAGAGGAAAGGGGTTAAAACTACACCCCCCCCCCCACACACACACACACACACACTACACCCCTCTCTCACACACTCACTACACCCCACAACCCACAACCCTCACACTACACCCCTCACACTACACCACACACACTGCAAGTAGCAACATCATCAATACCAAAATGTGAGCAAAAATTTACATTTAGCTATTTACAAGAGAAATAATTAGCCAAAGATTTGCAGATCAGGATTTGAAGGCCAACTAAATGATGAGCCCATTTACAGTATAGAGATTTAGACATTTTAGATTCTCATTAAGGGGTTTGGCAGCTCGTCACAAAGTTACTTTCAGTTTAGAGTGTCCCTTTCACCAAGGTGGCCAGTAAAATGGCTGCCATTACCTAAAATCATAGAGCAATCTGCCTACTCCTTCCCCATCTTTAAAAATGGGGCATAAAATGCTCAAAGATTTACTCCAAGCATCACATGCATTACAGCCTGCTGTGGAATTTATGATGCCAGGAATAGCCTGATCCGGTTTCCTGGTAATGTGGCAAACAGTTTTGCAATGGGTCCTCGCTAGGCGCCTGTTCTCCTCTGGTGCCGAGTGACACACATCCTGTTTCTGCAAAGCTGCAGAAGCTGGATGCTGATCATGCCGCTCATTCATTAGCTGATAGTGTCAGCTCACCACCTTCAGCCAATGAATAAACAGAAATAGGCACAGAACTGACATTTGCTATCCTGGAACTCGTTCCGGACTGGCTAATGATGCTGAAGGAGGTATATGGTGCAGTGTTTTAAAGCAACACACTGCACATGCAGACTGCATACACCATAACCACTTTAAATCCCTGAAATTGTCATGGTGCTTGGGAGTAACCCTAAAATACTTAATTAACTGAGACAAACCTGCACAATTCCCCCTATGCTTCTACCCATGTGTAACAGACAAACGTGTAATGCAGTGGAAGTTCTGAGCTTGCAGCACAACTAGTCATCCCCCCTCACCACCCAAACAAATGTCCCATCCCATTACTAGTAGAAGTGTGCTCAACCCCTAGAGGTAACAATGAAAACCTCCCAGCATGGAAGCAGCGGGTATCCAGCCAGAGCCTTCACCAAGTACAGGTTGAGAGTGCTCTGCTGACAATACCAGTCTATCAGTCTGCCAGAGGTGGTATAAATTGGCATGCCATTCCCCCCAGTAGAGGCTGAACTGCTGGGGAAACTAATCCAGGGTTAGACATTTAGAAACTAATACAGAACAGAGGGGCAATACGAGGGGACTCCAGGCACCAAAACCACTTCAGTGAGATGATGTGATGTGTCTAGAGTGCCCCTCTAGTAAAACTATGTTTAAATGCAGGGGAACACATGACAAATGTCATTTTAATACAGGAATGGAAAAATACTAGCAGAAACTGCAGGAGGGAGACTAAAAAAATTTGTGTCTGCATGTGTGTCTGTATGGGTATCTGTATGGGTATCTGTATGGGTATCTGTTTTCATGTGTGTCAGTGTTTGCCCCTATAAATCTGTATGTCACAGTTTATATCTGTATGCTTGTCATTCTGTGTATCTGAATGTTTGTCATTGTGTCTGTGTACATGCATGTCTATATGTATCTGTCTGTACGTGCGTCTGTGTATCCACGTGTGTGTGTTCTGCTCGTTTGTATCTGTATGTGTGTCACTGTTTATATCTATGTGTATCATTCTGTGTATCCGCATATGTGTCTGTATGGATCTGTTTTTCTGCACGTGTGTATCTGTCTGCATGTGTGTCAGTGTGTGCCCCTACGTGTCTGTATGTGTGTCACTGTATCTGTATGCGTCATTCTGTGTATGCGTATCTGCATTTGTCTATGTGTATCTGTGTATCCACATGTATGTCAGTTTGTGTCTGTATCTGTTTTAGTGTCATTCTGTGTGTCGGCATGTGTTATATGATTCAAATGGAGGGGGAGTGGGGAAGATGTATTGGGGCAGGGCAATTTTCACTCCAGGGCCCTGTGGTTTCTAACTACGCCTCTGAATATGGGTAACGTTCAGTGCCTCAATGCAGAGCGGAAGCACCTCTAGTGGACGTCGGTGTAACTACCGCTAGAGAAGCCAGCAATGTAAACACAGACTTTTCTCTAAAATGCAGTGTTCACAGGACTTAGGCTGCAGGAAAAGGCTTTAGATGCCAGAGACACTACATTAAGCTGAATCTGTTATGAAAAAAAATAAACGTACCTGAAATCGCCCCCATATACATTAAATGCACCATATATCACAAAAATACATAGTGAATTTAATGTAAAATATACAGATTTACTCATTTTCCTTCTCTTCCACCGATGCCATCTTCAATCCTTGTGGGTGTTACTCTTCATGTAACACCCACCTTCTGGCAGTCCTCTGCTTTGCCTGCATTCTTCCCGAAGTCTTCACATCCCCAAACAAGGCAAATCTTGTCAATTAAGTTGGCACATACTCCATATAAGTTCTCCCGGCTAGGAAGTTTCCATAGCAACCATAGCGCAAGCACTGCGGTTGTTATGGGTGGAGAGCAGAGGGACCTCCTGTGGGAGGTCTCTTGTGCACTCCTTGTCCATCTATGCCTCAGTTAATCTATACATTTGCTAGTAAAACTGCTATATAATGTATACACACAATATTATGCTCAATCTAATAAGCAGAATGTTTGGGGCATGACAGGTGCCCTTTATAGAAGGCTCAGCAAAGTCTCATTTCAATAAAGAATCTGCAAATAGTAGTAGGTAACAACTGGCGTAATAAAGGTTAGCCATAAACTCCCATGACTTTAATAACTGGAAGTTTGGGAAAGAAACTAGCAGTGACAGTGGGGCCATTAATGATTGCATAAAATAACAATATGGCACATAACCAAGCAGGGGATTCATTAGATCTGCAAATTGTACCAGTCCTCATTCAGCTCTCTCTTATCCTTACTGTACTCAGCCAACCCTCACGTACCCCCATTACAGCCTCTCTGCATTCAGCCAACCCTCACGCACCCCCATTACAGCCTCTCTGCACTCAGCCAACCCTCACGCACCCCCATTACAGCCTCTCTGCACTCAGCCAACCCTCACGCACCCCCATTACAGCCTCTCTGCACTCAGCCAACCCTCACGCACCCCCATTACAGCCTCTCTGCACTCAGCCAACCCTCACGCACCCCCATCACAGCCTCTCTGCACTCAGCCAACCCTCACGCACCCCCATTACAGCCTCTCTGCACTCAGCCAACCCTCACGCACCCCCATTACAGCCTCTCTGCACTCAGCCAACCCTCACGCACCCCCATTACAGCCTCTCTGCACTCAGCCAACCCTCACGCACCCCCATTACAGCCTCTCTGCACTCAGCCAACCCTCACGCACCCCCATTACAGCCTCTCTGCACTCAGCCAAACCTCACACTCAGGCTGCCCTCACACACAGCTCACACTCAGGCTGCCCTCTCACACTCAGCTCACCCTCAGGCTGCCCTCTCACACACAGCTCACCCTCAGGCTGCCCTCACAGACAGCTCACACTCAGGCTGCCCTCACACACAGCTCACCCTCAGCCTGCCCTCACACACAGCTCACCCTCAGCCTGAGCTCACACTCAGCTCACACTCAGGCTGCCCTCACACACAGCTCACACTCAGGCTGCCCTCTCACACACAGCTCACCCTCAGGCTGCCCTCTCACACACGGCTCACCCTCCATTGCCCTCTCACACACAGCTCACCCCACTCAGGCTGCCCCTCACACACAGCTCACCCTCAGGCTTGCCTCACACACAGCTCACACTCAGGCTGCCCTCTCACACTCAGCTCACCCTCAGGCTGCCCTCACACACAGCTCACCTCAGGCTGCCCTCTCACACTCAGCTACCTCAGGCTGCCCTCTCCTCAAACACCCTCAGGCTGCCCTCACACACAGCTCACCTCAGGCTGCCCTCACACACAGCTCACTCAGGCTGCCTCACACTCACCTCCCAGTCGGGGTGTGGTGTCCTCCCCCGCAGGCCATGGCTCATGGCAGGCTGCCCCAGGCTCCCCCCAGCCTGCGCATCCGAGAGACGGCTGCCGGCCTCGAACCTGCGTGAAGGCAGGCAGCCTGACTGACAGCCCACGTCAGGTGCGCCGCCTCTCATTGGACAACAGCGCCGACCAGCGCAGCAACTCTTTCTGATTGGCCGGGGGCGGAATTGCGTAGTGACAGGAGGGGCTGCGCGGGTTATCTGACCAATGGCGGAGCAGGGAGGTGACGTGGGGGCTGTGTGGCGACTGGTGACGCCTGCCATGCACTGCCTGTAGGGCTCGCCTGCTGGGAGCTGCCAATGGGGGAGGCCACACAGTGTGGTAATAATATAATGTATATAATATATAGTGTCTGTAATGTAATATATAGTGTGTGTAATATAATATATATAATATATAGTGTGTATAATATATATAATATATAGTGTGTAATATAATATATATAATATATAGTGTTATAATACCTGTATATAGTGTGTATAATATATATATAATATATAGTGTGTATAATATATATAATATATAGTGTATAATATATATAATATATAGTGTGTATAATATATATATATTATATAGTGTGTATAATATATATAATATATAGTGTCTAATGTAATACCAATTTATGTAATATAACTATATAGTGTGTAATATAATATATAGTGTCACTGCTACAGGAGCTCACTGCTGGGAGCTGCCAATGGGGAGCACACAATTAAGCATGTATTCAATATATATAGTGTGTGTAATATAAGTATATACCTCAATATATAGTGTGTAATATAATATATATAATATATGGTGTGTGTAATATAATATATAGTGTGTAATAATGTGTACCTGGGCTCACTGCTAGGGAGCTGCCAATGGGGGCACTGGTGTATAATATAATATATATAATATATAATTGTCTGTAATGTAATATATGGTGTGTGTATAATATATAGTGTGTAATATAATATATAGTGTCACTGCCTGAGGGCTCACTGCTGGGAGCTGGCTGCCAATGGGGGACACACAGTGTGTAATATAATATATATAGTGTGTGTAATATAATATATATAATATATAGTGTGTGTAATATAATATATAGTAGTGTAATATAATATATAGTGTGTAATATAATATATAGTGTGTGTCTGCCTGAGGGCTCCTGCTGGGAGCTGCCAATGGGGGCACACAGTGTGTGTAATATAATATATAGTGTCTAATGTAATATATGGTGTGTGTAATGCGTATATAGTGTCTGCCTGAGGCTCACTGCTGGGAGCACTGCCAGTAGGGGAGACCACACAGTGTGTGTAATATATTATATAGTGTGTGTAATTGTGTGTATAATATAATATATAGTGTCACTGCCTGAGGCTCACTGCTGGGAGCTGCCAATGGGGGGCACATAGTGTCTGTAATTTAATGTATAATATATAGTGTCTGTAATATAATGTATAATATAGTGTGTATGATATATATATAGTCTGTAATATAATGTATAATATATAGTGTGTATAATACGTATAATATATAGTGTCTGTAATATAATGTATAATATATAGTGTGTACAATATATATAGTGTGTGTATAATATAATATATAGTGTCACTGCCTGAGGCTCACTGCTGGGAGCTGCCAATGGGGGGCACATAGTGTCTGTAATTTAATGTATAATATATAGTGTCTGTAATATAATGTATAATATAGTGTGTATGATATATATATAGTCTGTAATATAATGTATAATATATAGTGTGTATAATACGTATAATATATAGTGTCTGTAATATAATGTATAATATATAGTGTGTACAATATATATAGTGTGTGTATAATATAATATATAGTGTCACTGCCTGAGGCTCACTGCTGGGAGCTGCCAATGGGGGGGCACATAGTGTCTGTGTATAGTGTGTATAATATATAGTGTGTATAATATATAGAATATATAGTGTGTATAATATAGAATGTATAGTGTGTATAATATATAATGTATAGTGTGTATAATATATAGTGTATATAATATATAGTCTATAATATATATTATATACACTACAGACACTATATAGTGTATATAATATATAGTGTCTGTATAGTGTATATAATATAGTGTATATAATAGTGCCTGTATAGTGTATACAATATAATATATAGTGTCTGTATAGTGTATATAATATATAGTGTGAATAATGTATAGTGTATACAATATATAGTGTCTAGTGTATACAATATAATATATAGTGTATACAATATATACATTATATAATATATAGTGTATATAATAGTCTGTATAGTGTATATAATGTGTATATATTATATAGTGTATATAACATATAGTGTATATAACAGTCTGTATAGTGTATAATATAGTGTCTACAATATATAGTATACATAATATATAGTGTCTACAATATAATATATAGTGTCTATAATATATACACACTATATAATAGTGTATATAATAGTGTCTGTAATATATATTATATACACACACGATACAGACACTATATAATGTATATATTATAATACATAGTGTATATAATACATAGTGTCTGTATAGTGTATTTAATATAATATATAGTGTCTGTATGGTGTATATAATACATAGTGTCTATATAGTGTATATAATGTGTAGTGTCTAATATATAGTGTCTAATTATATAGTCTGAATAGTGTATATAATATATAGTGTGTATAGTGTCTAATATATAGTGTCTATAGTGTATATAATACATAGTGTAGTGTTTACCGTATAATATGTATAGTGTCTAATATATAGTGTCTAATATATAGTGACTGTATATAGTATGTTATATAGTGTCACTGCCTGAGGCTCACTGCTGGGAGCTGGCTGTGGGGGCACATAGTGTCTATAGTATATAGTGTCTGTATAGTGCACAGTGTCAAATATATAGTGTCTGTAATGCACACAGTGTGTGTGTATATATATATATCTATATCTCTATATATATCTATATCTATCACACACTACTTATACTCTGTACAGTGCACATACTGTCTAATATAGTGCACAGTGTCTGTACTGAATATATAGTGCACATAGTGGTTATAGTCTGTACAGTGCATGTACAGTGTGTATATACTCTGTACAGTGCACATAATGTAGACTGTATAGTACTAGGATATAGTGCTTATAGTCTAGTGCACATAATGTCTGTACTGTATATATTCTGTATAGTACTAGGTTATAGTCAGTGTCTACAGTTCACATAGTGTCTTTAGTTTTAGGTCATAGTGTCTAGTGCTAGGTAATACTATTTATAACAGGGATGCCCAAAAGGTAGATCCCACATGTTGTACAACTACAACTCACATTGATGATTTGCATGCCTTTACATCAAAGGAACTGTAGTTTTAAAACATCTTAAGCTCTAACTTTTGGACACCCCTCATCTAGGTGTATATAGTGACCATGGTGCAAGGTTATAGTGTCCATAGTGATAGGTTATAGTTTTCCTGGCACTATAGTTTCCCTTTAAAAAAAAAACAAACATGTGGCAAGTAGTGGGCACATCAGTTAAAGGTTTAGTACTAGCAACTTGGCAGCCATTCCTGCTTATTTTACTAAAAAGGCACTATCATGGGGCTTGTAAAACAGAGGGGGCATTTTTGTTCAGATGTCATTAACAAAACCTGTATGTTGGCATCATGGAGTTGGTTTGCCACTGTCCCCACTTGGGAAGGAAAGGACACACTACTTTTGATAAAGCGACATGAAATACTCACTGTCAAAAAAGGTTGGGGAACGCCAAGGCTCAAAAGCAGGCAAATTTAAAAAAAAAAAATAAAAAAAAAAAAAAATATGCACAAACAAGCTTTCAACCCAAATCTGTCCTGGTCAAGCTTGTCCCTATAAATTTGCTGTGGAGCCCTATTATGCCGAAACTTTTTTCCTTTTACATCAAGGTAGGGTTTACTCCTGGTTTGGTTCCGCACCCAATTTTTTTAGCTCAGTACAGTATGAAGGTTTCCCGTTTTTCCAACTATACATTCACTGGTCATACACCAAACCCTTTTGCGCTTACAAACAGCTGCTCTGAGTTAATTTCCACCAAATAATCTTTTGTTTCCTGTTAACTGATAGTATGCTCTTTTCTCCTAGTCTATTGGGTCTGGTGTGCCATATTAACAGTACATCCACCAGCATTCCAGGGATTAAAACAGACAGCCAATCCCAAAGACTATGGTTTGCTGATGGATGTTAGCCATATAACAATTAGAAACATTGCTTGTATTTACACCTAACATCTGGTTTAAATGTAATATTTTAAGTTAAATCATTTAGTGTGATTTAATTAGTGCTACTAGGCTGGCAATGTGTTTATTTATTTAAACTCAATGGGTAGAAAACCAGCATGAATGAGGCCAAAACCTATCAAGGTCACTTACGTTATTTGGTGCCTGAAGTGTCCTTTTAAAGAATAATGGAAAGACGAGATTAAAAAAGTGATTTCTCACATTTATTATAAAAACCAGCATACTTAAAAATATAAAACCTTAAGAAAAAAAAAAAAGGGAATATTCACTTAAAAAAAAAAAATACAGTTAACTAGTTTTTGCATACAAAGAATAATAAATGTTAAGACTATTGAAGTGGCTACCAAGTATACATGCTACTACTAGAATATGTAAAGCGACAAAATCATACATAAGGCCGCAGGCTGAGGCAAAGAAAAAGAAAGTCCATGGTTTCTTTCCAGTGCAATGGAAGACATCAAGGCATCCAGCTGACCAAGTTTCAGATAAAAAAAAAAAAATGGGAATAAAAAAATAATCCTACCCCTCCCCATAACGCAAATTTATCAGTCAATGCAGGGGGCGGATTCTAACAAAGTCTGCTTTTTTTCCATTGGTTTGTTTTATTACTGTAAAATCTTTTTGTATTACCATACTTAGCAGTATCTTCAAAAATCCATTGTTGCAAGTATAAAAGGCGCTTAACCATCTGTTCTTGAAAGGGTGTCTGGGAATCCTATTTCTCTACTTGAAAAAGGTTGAGACAGAATTATAGATTAGTCTGCAAGGAGGATATTTATTTAAAACAGACAATACATATTCTAGTCCATGCTGCTAGTAAAAGGTTCATCACGCCACAGTCTCAGTTGCTTTAAGACCTACAAAAAGCCTGATTTAGTTGGATACAACACTAAACCTCAAAACAGAAAATTTGTATATATTGTGAATAGAAGGCAGTTCTGGGACTGTTACCAGGTCACACTAGTGTGCCTTTTCTTTTATATGGAGATAATGCTGGTAGCTGAAGGCAATTACCAATCTATAAGTTTCCCTGGGGCTGGTTGGATGGGATGGAGGATACATAGTTTACACATGCAAGCCAGTCAGAACTCTCATACTTCACAGTCCTGCATTTGTTAATTTTAATACCAAGACCGGTCTAAACAAAATTTAAATTCCTGGCTATAAGAGAAAGCATCACAAATCTGAGCCATGGCAAACCTTAACTAGCAACACAGTTAATAGTGAAATGTGCACAGACAAAAGAAAATAAAAAAAAATATAATGAATAATTTCCACTATTGGGGATAAAGAAGAAAGGAGTGGAAAAACCAAACACCCGTGTGTGATTCTACAACACCCTTAAGTGACCTAGATGTTGCTACAGGTGGGCACAAACTTCCCCCATATTAAAATGAAAAGACCGAGTTCAGGGCAGATGAGCAGGAGCTTCACCTTAATTAAATGCAGTTATGAAATTACTGCAAATTCTCATCAGTTCTGGGGTTTCTCCTCTTAACTGAACTGTGCAGTATTTGCAGAGGTTTCCTCAAAAGGCCTAGTCTTGCATCAGTAAACTTAGTTTTCCTGTTGAGATATCAAGACAAATTAAGAAAGAAAAAAAAAAAGAAAAAATTTGCATTGCATCTTTGGGTATTGTCCATACAAAAAGGTTTCATTTATTATTAAAAAAAAATTAAAAAAAAACACAAACAAAAAACAAACGTCCAATTACAGCAGATCAAATAAATGGATCAGTTTACTTTAGGGCTTTTCTTATTGGTGCCAATATAAACATCTATGACCCAAAATCAAGTGATTTGGGATCTTAGAGTACCTTTTAAGCAACTTCCTGGTTTGTTGAAATTTTACTAAAGTAGTTCAAACGTGATTGCAGTTTATTATTGTAGTGTGATTTAATTCAATTATTGTTTACAGTATTCCCCCAAGCACATTGGACAAACCTGGATGGTTCCTTTAGAAACCGCTTTTTATCTAACAAATTATATATTACTAATCTTACAAACAATGAATTTTAGAATTTTACTGTTTAAGACAAATTGATATGAATATCTAGCATAAAAAAAAATAAAAATAAAAGATCCTTAGGAGCCACATGGATCAAATACACTCTAGAACGAATGTATGAAGTTATCCTTTTTTTTTCCGTTCTAGAAGAAACCATCCCCCAAAAAAAAAACCCCCAAAAAACCAATTATGCAAATACAAAGCTAAAGTCATGATTACAGATAGTTTCACTTAAAGGGACACTATCACCAGAACCACTTCAGCTTAATATTGTTGTTCTGGAGTCTAGCCTGTCTCTGCAGAATTTCCAATATAAAACACTGCCTTTCCAGAGGAAAGACAGTGTTTACATTGCTGGCTAGTAACACCTCTAGTGACAGCCAGATGGCCAATAGAGGTGCTTCCTAGTCCAGCAATGGTGTTCAGTGTCTCCACTGTCTGCATGGAGATGCTGAATGTTCTCCATAGAAATGCATTGATTCAATGCATTAATGTAAGGAAATGCTGATTGGCGCAGTCTTGTCGCACGTGCGCAAAAAAGACTCCCAATGCTTTCCTACTGTAAAGCACTGGATTTGTTGAGATCAAGACTAATGATCTCCCTCATCGAGGCAGGACCAGCAGCGAAGAAAAAGACAAGTTTAAATACCTTTTCAGAGAGACCTGAGGGTGGTGGGGGGGATGGGTGGAGAGCTAAACAGTTTTACACTATAGTGTTAGGAATACATGTTTGTATTCCTGACACTAGTATTCCTTTAAGCAAAATGGAGAGCCAGCTTTTAAACAATGTTGCTTTAGCATGCCCATAACAAGCCAGCACATAGTATGTAGATAGTGTCTTAAACACTGCATTTCATAGTGCAAAAGACATTTCCAACAATTGACCAGACAGTCAACTGGTAAACCATGCCTTAACACGCATACACATATAAACTGACATTAATGGTGTCAACAATACCTACTTTGGACATCTGCAGCCACTAAACATCTATTAATTTAAATAAAACCACTTAACGGACATTATACACTACAAACAAAATCTGTACATTATCATTTACATTCTTCAGAACATTATTAATGTTCTTGAAAGAGGCATTCCGATAGTTTAATCCATAAATAACTTTAGATAAAAAATAAAAGTTAAAAAGGGAAAGTTGTTGTGATATCTTAATATAAAAGTTTAAATATTGCAGTTTGTTATAAGAGTACACATAGATAAAATACACATGATAGATCTTCAAGAATCTTTCCGTTCATTATGAATCATACAGTTTGCAGATTGCAAACAACACTCTTCATTTTTTTTAAAGGATAAGGTTAGAGAATAAGAATATGTTAAACTAAATGGCTTTAACTGAATGATGCACATTACGGTAGCTGAATGTATGCTGTATAGAACTGCAAATACAAAATAAGCAGGACATTCCATACTAGCATAGTATATTGCAATACTTAAGGGGGTTAAAGTCAGTATTGGAAAATACTTACATTTGCTAGAACAATGTACAGATATTTTTTAAGTTTGTGAAGTACCCATAAAAAGGCTCAGTTTACTTCCACCCCCCTTAAGAAATTAAAAAAAAAAAAAAAAATATATATATATATATATATATATATATATATATATATATATATATATATATATATATATATATATATATATATATATATATAAATTTTTTTTTTTTAAAGAATTGTTAGAAGTGTCTTGCTCCATTCTAAATAAACCACACTTTCACAGAAATTTCACATACCAATCCATGAGGTATGGTTTTTAAAAATATAGAAAAAACAAAAACAAAAAAAAACCACAACTATGGCTTCAAAAATCGTATTGACCAGAAAGGAGTAATCCCCCAAAATATGCAAATTATGTACAACCCATATTTTGCATAGACATTAGCAAAGTTTTTTTTTTTTTTTCCTGCTGTTGTCATTGGTTATGTATATATTAATATCAGATCTATGTATTCAGTTTCAAGACTCCACTAGAATCTCAACAATATGATCAATCTCACTGAGCTCAGTTTTGCAGCCGGTGGGTTTTGGCGTCTGGGATGAAAAGCTTTCAATCATATCAGAATGAACTAATTTTGAATTTCCCATCATACCAGTAAGTACAGTATCTAGATCATAATAGGAAGTATCAACATCAGAAAACAAATCCTCTACTGTGTTTGCATTTCTGTTCTCCAACGTTTCAAATATATGGTCTAGTGATTTTTGAAGTTGTACCCTATTTTCTTGCTGGTTGTCCGCTTCCCAGGTAGGAGCCTGAGAATTTTGCACTTTTAAGGATGTATATGGTGACAGGTCTGAAACCTCTATCTGTTGAACGTCCAAGTCATCGCTGTAAGTAATATAGGTTTCATTGTTATTCTTTTCTTCCTCCTGATCCTTTGAGGAACGACAAAGAATATCTGTAGAAACCAAACGATCCACAGGTGCTTCAACACTTTGTTCTGCCAAAATTTGCCAGCTGCCATCTTGAGTCATCTCATGTTGTATCTGCCTTACAGTGTTGGCAATAAGCACTGAACGACAAAGATTAGGTTCTGCAAGCATGTGGCAGAGTTGCAGTTTCACCAGTGACATGTTCAGCATTGACTGGCGTTCCAAAGTGTAGGAAGGAATAGTTTTAAAGTCAGCCAACGGTTCTTCTGTGTCTTCTTCAGAAAAGCTTTTCCTCTTGATTCCTCTAGTAAACATTGTATCCTAATAAAAGATAGATGCATGGGACACAACTGTTAGACCATAAAGCACTTTAATCATTCAAAAACAAACTCATACAACATACCACGCATGCAGCAATTTAAATTTATAACCTGGATACAGAGATAAAAACCAAAGCTGTCAAAGCAATCACAACCACTTCCATTTCTAAAATAGTCAAACTTACACCTCTTGTGTATTGTTACAATGTTTCCTTTGTATATATACACGACTTCGCATTGTGGTAAAGAAAACAATGCCATACAATTTTGGTTCTGTCCATTTCTAGGCCAACGAAAAATACATTCTGTACTGGGAAATGCATGAAGCTTTAGAAATTCCTGGTCCATTGCACAACTAAACACTATGGATCATCCTCAAATGAGAAGGGTTTTGAAATTAATAGGGTTCAGCAAACTCCAAAGTCTTAGCTGTGCACTGTATAGAAAAATGAAAATACAGCAAATTAGGACAGGCACTTAGAGAAAAATAGCAGGGTAAAACGTATTGATAAAGGAACATTCAAAACAAACATACACAGAGCTTCTCCATAAGCAGAATTTGCCAATGTAAACCTTGGGTATCCAACACCAGCTAAACCATACCAGTCACGGTTCACACCAAATTCATAGAATTAGCAAAATTAATCATCATCTATACCTGCTGGAGGCAGTGTTACACTTCCAGCTGCAGAAAAAAAAAAAAAAAATATCCACGTGTGCAGCATTTCTTATGGCAACACTGCATATACAGACTCCAAGCACCATGGCCACTTCAAATCAAACTATGTAGCAATTCTATAGCAGGTGCTACCGCATGGTGTGTATGAACTTGTAGAGTAGCTATGATTCCCAGTATAACAGCCTTGCACATTTAGGGCTGCTAGTAGTTTAATTCTTGTTGTAGAAGGTCAGAGGAATGCATAGCTAGCTACAAAGTAATAAATGCAAGTGTTGATATAACTGCAGAGATGTTTGAACATTGTAAGTTTTAACCAGGATGAAAAAATAGATGACAGAGTAGCCCATAACATATACAAAGAGTATATTTGTTATGGTGGTTTGACTGTCCTTTCAATATTTAGCAAATTAGACCTGGAGCCTGAATAGTTTATTTTTTCCCTTCTGATTACATACATTTACATATTGGGATGAGGTTCACCCTTTATTTTGTAACATTACAGCATTATGAATACAAATGTGTATTTCTAATGCTATAGTGTCTTGTCATTGAGGTGACCCCAACTCCTCCCCCCTCCTATGCAAAGGTTATGCAAGCTAGTGTTTATCTTACCTCTTTTCCCACACCAAGCTGCTCTCTCATTGGCTGGTCCCACTTCATTGTCTGAGACCATCAAGATTGATGATCTAAGACAATCAAATGATTTCCCATAGGAGGAAAGTGCACATGCTCAGCCTAACAGACTGTGCCATTTAGATTGTGTTTTGAGAGCATGAGACAAATATGTTTTTGCTCTATTTCACAGAAGCACCTGAATTGGCAGACAACCACTAGAGGCAGGTTAATTCTGCAAAGAAAACACGTCCGTTCCTTCAGAACAACAATGTTTTCACTTGTTGGGTTAAAATAGGGAAGCATATGGCACCCAAACAACTTCTTTAAGGTGAAGTGGTCTGGGTGCCTATATAGTGTTCCTTTAACATTTAAGCTGCTTCAGGAAGGTTAATAGCCTCAAAATGTAAATATGAGCAAACGGGGGAAATAAACCCAAAACAAAGCACAGCTGAATTGCTAGTGTGCAATGTGAGCTAGCTCTAGATTTACTAAGGAACAAAAAAAAATAAAAAATAAATAAACCCAAGTGTGACACAAAAGCAATCAGGACATTTGATTGCATGGGGCTATATACACTATGTCATTGAGTTGAGGACAATAAAAAAAACCAAAACAAACATACATAAAATTAAAATATTCATAGTAGGCTCTCTCTCTCAAAACAGCTTCTCCAAAGCAAACACTACAACCCACTGTATCTTGGCCTCTTTTACAGTAATGGGGCAAACCATTCTACAATGGTTTGCCCTCTTAGCTCGGTCCACATTAGTTTCTTTTGGTCCTCTATGGCCAGCGACATGCATCTGGCTTCTGCAGAACGAAGGAAGCTGATCATACCTGCTATTCATTGGCTGAGAAAGTCAGCTGACCACTCAGCATACGAAAGCAACTCCATGCATAGAAATATGCCCCAAACTGACATTAGCCAGTACGGAACAAGAGTTCCTGGCTAGCTATTGCCACCCTAATTATGCTACCTGAGGTGGAGTTACACCTCTAACATCAGAGGGGTTAAAATTGGTATGGGCATCATTCCATAGAGAAAAAAAAAAAAAAAACCCCAACACTGCACTAAAAGACTCCAAGCATCAAATCACTGAAATGGTCATGGCGCTTGGAGTAACAAAACAAAAAAGTGTTATTACATTAGACTTGTAAGTGTGCTGTAATTTGTGTGTGTAAACATTCATGCATGTACCCCAATTAAGTTTGTAGCAAATTACTACCACATGTAGTTATTGAAAACCATAAAAAAAAAAAAAAAAAAAAAAAAAAAAAAAAAAAAAAAAAAAAAAAAAAAAAAAAAGTTGAATCAATAAACTCTACATTGTAACCAATTGAAATCAGATTGACAAAAATTAACCTGTAAACCAGTTATGAGAGGACTTTTTTTACAGCACAAAATTGACAGACTCATCGAATTCAGCACTAACAGGAATGGCCATGAAAGTGCAATGGGTGGCTAGATGTCACAGTGGAGAACTGGTTTGACAGCCACTGGAGGAATTTAAACCATGCACTATAAACAGTTTGCAGCTGAAAGTTAAATCTACAGGGACATAGCAGCCAGACTATTTCATTGAGATAAAGCAGTCTGGGTGGCTTTAGTGTCCCTTTAAAGGGATTTTCCAGTGCCAGGAAAACTACTGCAGGACCCTGGAGTACCCCTCTCCCTCCCACCCCAAGTTGCAGAATGGGGTTGCAGAGTACAGCGCTAATGTCCCTTGGTGCTGATCAGGCTCTGCCTACTCTCCTGGTGGGGGGGGGAGGAGACCTAATGCACATGTGCAGCAATGGCCGCGCACGCGCATTAGACCTCCCCATAAGAAAGCATTATTCAATGCTTTCCTATGGGGATTTCAGAGACATAGCGTGAGGACGTCTGGCGTCTAACACACTTTTTGTGTTCTAAGAACATGGAAGTCCCTCTAGTGGCTGTCTAGTAGACAGCCACTAGAGGAGGACTTAACCCTGCAATGTAAATATTGCAGTTTAGGAAAACTGCAATACTTACACTTGCAGGGTTAAGGGTAGTGGAGTTTGGCACCCAGACCACTCCAATGGGCAGAAGTGGTCTGGTATCCCTTTAAGATTACTAAAGCTACCATAGTCTGAACATCCTAATCTCAACATTTCAATTCTTCTAAAACACCAGTATAAGTTGAGTGCTATATGAAATATACATCAGGGATCTGACAAACTGGAAGCAAATCACATAAAAGTTGATTTAAAATGTTAGAGTAACAAAAACCTTTTTATTGGAGACATAGCAATTTAACTCACTTCCATATATGCTTGAAGCATAGTCTCAGATGAGGTGGGCAATGAAGGCCAGGTAGAAACTTCACTATGCTGCACGTTCGTGACAAGCGATGACGACATCTTCCCAAAAGGAATGCACATCGAAATGCTGGGGAGTTTTCTTCACTGGATGCAGTGTACATACAGAATCATGAGACTTCCATAATGTGTATCAAAAACACATCTGGTACGAATAATCTTAGTATTACGGACAGTTTCTCTGCAATGAAAATAGCACAGAAAATGTACCTGCCTTTTAAACCCTGTGATTTTTAATAAGAAGAGTTCCAACTGACTGCCTTCAGGCAAGATCTTAAATTGAAGGCATTTGGTAGAGCTGAGATGGAACACCAGGAAAATTGCTAGAATCTGTTGCAATCAGATGCCAAGTAAATTTTTTTATTTTTTTTTAAACCACACCCACACTTGGTAACAAGCTTAAATCCAATTTTATCTCCCATATAATTGGTATGAAATAAACCTACATGCACATCTTCAAATCCATATCCAAATTATTATTAATGTGTATTATAAACAAACACACATAAGGCACTACCAAATCTAAACTATATTTGACTATTAAAATGGATACTATATTTGCTAGGAATGCAAATATGTATTACTATTACTGTAGTTCTTTCTTCCTCCCCACACCCATCAATGAAAAAAAAACAAAAAACAAAAACTCTTGCGCTAAGTTGGCACTCCACCTCCTCCAACTGCACACCAGTGAACATAAGAGGTTTATGTGAATAGACTCATTACTGCCCGCAATGCAGTTATTCTCTAAAAATTATTTGAGGGATGTTTTTGCCCATTAAAGCATCAAAAATGTAGAGGTCTTGATTAATAGTTTTGTAGTTTAAAGCCTGACAAAGACATCTTGATCTACAGGATAAAAGTGCAGGACATTTTCTGTTGGACACTGTATGTCATTTGCAAAGTGTACTGTACATGTTGTAGACACCTGAAAATGTATATGCCCTTATTTTTAAACAAGTTTAGTGTTTATGATACATGCATGCTTTCAGGGTGTAGATTCAACAAATAAGTCCAACTCATGTGGGGAATGTTACTAAAAAAAAAAAAATGTTGTTGTATCAACACTTTATATGTTGAAGGTTTAAAACAGCCATAACATTGGGAAACCTCAAATCAAAACAGGGTATAAGACAAGAGAATTCCCTCAGGATTACTCAAGAGAAAGTGTGAAACCCACTTCCAGGTTTGCTTTACTGATACATGTATTGAAAGTGAATAAAGGATGCCATCACAAAGTAATTATTCAAACTGAATTTATTCTCCATTTGTGCACTAGATAACTAGAAACACTTCCATATTTCAGAATACAAATACTTGTACATTTTTCCCCCTCCCTTCATGAATGCATGGGATACGTGTAAGATTAAAAGGATTCTCCAGTGCCATGAAAACGTTTTCCTGGCACTGCAGGACCCTGTAGTGACCCTCTCCCTCCCCAATCCCAAGTTGCTAAAGGGGTTAAAACCCCTTCAGTGACTTACCGGAGTCTAGCGCCGATATCCCTCTGTGCTGGTCAGGCTCTGCCTACTCTCCTCCCCCGCTGGGGGAGACCTTATGTGCATGCGTGACAATGGCAGCACAAGTGCATTAGACCTCCCCATTGGAAATAGCGTGAGGGCGTCCAGCGTTGCTTAAAACACTTTGTGTTCTAAGAACACGGATGTCCCTCTAGTAGCGGTCTGATAGACAGCCACTAGAGGAGGACTTAACCCTGCAAGGTAAATATTACAGTTTATAAAAACTACAATAATTACAGTTGCAGGGTTAAGGGTAGTGGGAGTTGGTACCCAGACCACTCCAATGGGCAGAAGTAGTCTGGGTGCCTGGAGTATCCCTTTAACTCCAATCTAGGATAAAAAAAAAAAAGCCAGGCTCAATCTTGTCACCAAATTAAAAGGAGTATTATTGGAGAAAAAACACAGAAAAGTAAAGTCAAGAAAAAATAAAGTGCAGGGGGGAGAGGCTCACTGAAAAAGAAACCCTTACAATTTTTTGTGTTAATAATATACTTTATGAGACCAGATTAGTGAGTGTCGTCTATATGCCTCAGTTATTCATTGTTAAGAATAAAACAATTTTATTTCATCTCCACTGCACTTCTGTACTGTGGCATATTCAAGGAGCCAGGCATGCCTTGGGAATACACAAATGCTACGACATCCAATCATGAAATGATATGTGTACATGTATGGTCAGCACATTCTGCAGCAGTACTATATGTACATTACATCCAAAGAAAGAACTAGTGTACCCAGAAGAGCAATAGTTCAATTTTAGCTAGCTATTATGATGTACTATAATGGAGAAAGTGACAGTTAAAGGAACACTATAGTCACCTAAATGACTTTAGCTAAATAAAGCAGTTTTATTGATCATTCCCCTGCAGTTTTACTGCTCAATTCACTGTCATTTAGGAGTTAAATCACTTTGTTTCTGTAGCCGTAGCCACAACTCCCTTGGCTATGATTGACAGAGCCTGCATGAAAAAAAAAAAAAACTGGTTTCACTTTCAAACAGATGTAATTTACCTTAAATAATTGTATCTCAATCTCTAAATTGAACTTTAATCACATACAGGAGACTCTTGCAGGGTCTAGCAAGCTATTAACATAGTAGGGGATAAGAAAAGCTTAATTAAACAGAACTTGCAATAAAGAAAGCCTAGATAGGGCTCTCTTTACAGGAAGTGTTTTTGGAAGCCTGTGCAAGTCACATGCAGGGAGGTGTGACTAGGGTTCATAAACAAAGGGATATAACTTCTAAATGGCAGAGGATTGAGCAGTGAGGCTGCAGGGGCATGTTCTATACACCAAAACTGCTTCATTGAGCTAAAGTTCTTCTGTTGACTATAATGTCCCTTTAACAAGCAATATCTGACCCTTTTATGCCAAACAGTTTTATCAAATAATTCTAGAGAATTGAAACCTGAATGGCAATTTAAGGCTGAAATAGCTAAATATGAAGCAAACAATCTCAAACTGAGATCTAGTCAAAGCTTTGTTATTTTGGCTAAAATTTTACCATTTGGATTTCAGTTCACTGAAACTAAAAATTTAGTGACCAATATCCTTATTTCTCCATCCCTCAGTTTTTGTCCTATATGAGAAACTTGGAACCCACACAGGTACTGAATTCAAGCAAAACAAAAAACACTTTGTGCGGTGAACATGCCAATTAACATGTAGTGCCTTTAAAATCCGAGAGCACTGCATTACTTGGGTGCTGTGTATAGTAAACATGTCTGCTCACAAAGCAGGGTTATTCACTAAGGTGTAACTACAAAGTGAATAAAAAAACCCACGGTCAAAACAGCTTAACTGGAAATATTCTCTAAGGCAGCTAAGCGTTCAGTTTAACTTCTCCAGCCTTAAAAGAGACACCATGGTCACCAAGACAATTTTGGCCTAATTAAGTAGTTATGGCTCACTGCTCAGTTGCCTGCTATTTAGGAGTTAAATAACTTTGTTTATACAGCCCTAGGCACATCTCCCTGCATGTACCATGCATAACCTTCCTAAACACCTCCTGTAAACAGTCATCTAATGTTTAAACTTTCTTTTATGGCACAGTCTGTTTAATTCAGAATGTTTCGCCTCCGTTGGTAGCCTGCTAGACCTTGTAGAAGCCTCCTGTTGAAGTTCAATTTACAGAGCAGGAGATAAAAATAAATAAAATCAAATTATCTGACTGAACATGAAACCATTTTGTTTATCTGCAGCCTGTGTCAGTCACAGCTAGGGGAGGTGTGGCTAGTGCTGCATAAAGAGAAACAAAAGTGATTTAACTCCCAAATAGCAGAAAATTGAGAAGTAACACCACAGAGGAATGACCTATACACAAAAACAAACACTTAATGGAATGGATATTACAGCTCCTCCTACCTCCCACCTCCTTCCCGCCCTCCCCACTCCTTGTTAAATAATAAAAAAAAATAAAAATAAAAAAAAAAGTATTTTATCTACTTACCTGATCCGACGCTCCGCCCCCTCCAACGAGCAGTCACTAAAGCATTAGACCTCAATGCTTTCCTATTAGGAAAAATGTGACGCTAGATATCATGCAGAGCGTGAGGATGTCAAGCGTCAGATAACGGACCAAAGGTCTATTTGGATTCCGGAAGCCATCTAGTGAATGTCTGGTAGACTGCCACTGAGGGCAGACTTAGAGCTGCAATGTAAACATTCTCTGGGACTGTACTGTTTTACATTGCAGCACCAAGTGCAAAAGGGTCACAGCACCCAGACCACTTCAATGAGCTAAAGGGTGACTACAGTGTCCCTTTAAAGGAACACTATAGGGTTAGGAACACAAACATGTATTCCTGACCCTATAGTGTTAAACCACCATCTAGCCCACCTGGACCCCACATGCCTCCATAAATATAGTAAATATCTTACTGTATTCAAGCCAGAAGCTGTAACTCTGCATGCTGTTAGATTCAGAAAAACAAGCTGTCTGCTGACATCAGAAGTGGTAGCCTGATCCAATCACAGTGCTTCCCCATAGGATTGGCGGAGACTGACACAAAGGCAGATCAGGGGCAGAGCCAGAATGATTCAAACACAGCACTGGCCAATCAGCATCTCCTCATAGAAATGAATTAAATCAATGAATCTCTATGAGGAAAGTTCAGTGTCTGCATGCAGAGGGAGGAGATACTGAATGATTGGATGCATTTTAGGCAGCCATGACCCAGGAAGGATCTATAACAGCCATAGTGGCCAGTGAAGTTATCACTAGGCTGTAATGTAAACACTGCATTTTCTCTGAAAAAAGTGTTTACAGCAAAAAGCCTGACGGTAATGGATTCTACTCACCAGAACAAATTCAATAAGCTGTAGTTGTTCTGGTGACTATAGTGTCCCTTTAAGTTTAGAATATTTACATTGTAAATGTAATTGTTCTGGTGCCATTCCCTCTTGCCCTCAGTTACTAGGAGTGATAGAGCCCCATGTGTGTATAGACAGAGAGAGCACAGTGTACGGGTAATGCTGTGTATAGATAGATAGAGCACAGTGTCTGGGTAATGCTGTGTATAGATAGAGCACAGTGTCTGGGTAATGCTGTGTATAGATAGATAGAGCACAGTGTCTGGGTAATGCTGTGTATAGATAGATAGAGCACAGTGTCTGGGTAATGCTGTGTATAGATAGATAGAGCACAGTGTCTGGGTAATGCTGTGTATAGATAGATAGAGCACAGTGTCTGGGTAATGCTGTGTATAGATAGAGCACAGTGTCTGGGTAATGCTGTGTATAGATAGAGCACAGTGTCTGGGTAATGCTGTGTATAGATAGAGCACAGTGTCTGGGTAATGCCGTGTATAGATAGAGCACAGTGTATGGGTAATGCTGTGTATAGATAGAGCACAGTGTATGGGTAATGCTGTGTATAGATAGAGCACAGTGTATGGGTAATGCTGTGTATAGATAGAGCACAGTGTATGGGTAATGCTGTGTATAGATAGATAGAGCACAGTGTACGGGTAATGCTGTGTATAGATAGGGCACAGTGTATGGGTAATGCTGTGTATAGATAGATAGAGCACAGTGTATGGGTAATGCTGTGTATAGATAGATAGAGCACAGTGTATGGGTAATGCGGTGTATAGATAGAGCACAGTATGGGTAATGCTGTGTATAGATAGAGCACAGTATGGGTAATGCTGTGTATAGATAGAGCACAGTATGGGTAATGCTGTGATAGATAGAGCACAGTGTATGGGTAATGCTGTGTATAGATAGAGCACAGTGTATGGGTAATGCTGTGTATAGATAGATAGAGCACAGTGTATGGGTAATGCTGTGTATAGATAGATAGAGCACAGTGTATGGGTAATGCTGTGTATAGATAGAGCACAGTGTATGGGTAATGCTGTGTATAGATAGAGCACAGTGTATGGGTAATGCTGTGTATAGATAGAGCACAGTGTATGGGTAATGCTGTGTATAGATAGAGCACAGTGTATGGGTAATGCTGTGTATAGATAGAGCACAGTGTATGGGTAATGCTGTGTATAGATAGAGCACAGTGTATGGGTAATGCTGTGTATAGATAGAGCACAGTGTATGGGTAATGCTGTGTATAGATAGAGCACAGTGTATGGGTAATGCTGTGTATAGATAGATAGATAGAGCACAGTGTCTGGGTAATGCTGTGGGTAGGTGGATGGATGATGATGAGAGGGAGCCCAGGGTGGGCGGGGCTTAGCGCGCTCGGTGACGTCACTGCATTGCTGCCACATGACGCATTACTGGGGGAAGGGAAGCCGCCATTTTGGCTCGCTCATTGTTACCAGTTACCGCTTTACCCTCACAGTAACCAGATAACCGTAATATAAACACCGGCCCCGAGATACCGGAACAGCCGAGATACCGGGGGGCAGCGGGCGGGGAGGGGTCTCACTCACCGTGACACGTTATCCGGGGGAGCAGGAGAGCGACATGCACGGGGCGAGGCTCACGGTGCCGGCGGGCGGGGGCTGACTGACTGGCTGACCGACGGGCGGGCACAGCGGACTCCTCTCTGTGACGGACTGAGGGCGACAGCCAGGACCCGGCGCAGCTTCACCTCCCGCTCTCCGCTCAACCAATTGAGGAGGAGCTTGTTAGAAGCGCCGCCCCTGATTGGCCAGAGCGAGCGAGGGGTTGCCATGGCGACGGAAGCTCCTCCTCGCCTCTGATTGGTGGAGAGCGGACTGAGCGCTGGCTTTGAAAGCCAGCGGGGAATGCGGCGCTCGAGTCATTGGTCTGCCCGGCTAGAGGGGACCATAGAGGTAAACGGCAGCTCTCTGTGACACTGCCCAACTGCGGCCGGAATAGGAACTGCACGGGTTATACCGCCCCACTACGGCCGGGATAGGAACTGCACGGGTTATTCCCCCAAACTGAGGATAGGTATAGCAAGGGTTAAACTTGCACTTAGGGCAAGATAGATATTGCAGGGCCCAGGATAGGAACTTCAATGGTTAGTCTTACACTAGGGCCAGGATAAGAGCTTATTCAGAGGCTGGGATAGGTGCTATAAGGGTTAAACGTTAACTCGGAGGGCTGGACAGCTGTTGCAAGAATAATAATGAAATGAGGCCAGGCTATGATATCTTGAAGATTAGGGTCAGTAAGTGGCCTATACCAGTCTCTATATAATGGTATATTCTATACCTCAGGATAAAGACATATTACACTCTCTTATATGATGTGAAGTTCCAAAGTGTTTCTTTTATTCACTGTTTTACAAAATAACTCATTTTAACCACACAGCACCCACCCTAGTATTATATCATCCATTGTTGAAAGGCATGAAAACCACTGGCTGACACAAATAATGTCTGCATGGGCACTTTAATACTCACTCACATAAAACATGTAGACCCACATCAATTTAGTAAGACCGAGATTCCGGCTCTTGCAGAAGGTGGAAGGGGTACCTGGCGAACTCCACGTAAATAGTCGCCCCATGCTAAAACAGTTTGACTACTTGCAATAGGGCCGCCAGGGCATTTCTGGCACAATAACCACTACAGAGCGCTGTAGTGTTTATGGTGCTTGTAATGTTCCTTTAAGGGGACACAACAGTTACCCTGAACTTAATCTCATTGAAGTGGCCTGGGTACAGTGTCCCTGCCCTTTAAACTATGAAACATTACAGTTTCTTGAGAAATTGCCATTTTTCCATTGCACGGTTATGTATAATCTCTACTTCTGCCAGAGTAAGACTTGGTCACACGATATGGAAGCCCTGTAGGACCAGATTGACTGAATGCTTTCCTATGGCAAAGATAAAATGTTCACACTTTCCTAACACTATAGTGTTCCTTTCATGACTGAAAACTTTCAATACATTTTATATAAAAATATATTTGTTCTACTTTTAAAGCGACACCGTCACCCCCAGCTCCCCACCCTGTAAAATGAGTATCTTATAAAGAATCTTTATGAAATACTAATATTGACTGTGTTTGGAATTTTACAGACAAAGAGACTTTGTCTCAGTATTTTTTTTTCTGTCTGACAAAGCTTGACAGTGGGCGGAGCTGCTGCCATCAAGCCTTGTCAATCCTGGGATCCTCCATATTCTCCCCCCACCCCCCACACTGTGCTTTCATGCATGCACGAGAGTACAACAGTGAAGTTGGCTCCTGGCAGCTGAAGCGCCAGAAGTATAAGAGTACCATCAGGAAGATGATGGCAGGGCCTGCGAGAGACAAATTCAGAAAAGTAAAACACACCATTGTTTGCCTCCCCCCAGCCACTGCCCCACGGTGGCGATGTCACCATCAGAGATGTATGCAAAGTCACCAGACAATGACATGGCCCTGTGATCTGTACATGGCCCCGCCCACTCAGACTGAACACAGTGATCTGTACATTGCCCCGCTCACTCAGACTGAACACCGTGATCTGTACATGGCCCCGCCCCCTCAGACTGAACACACTGATCTGTGCAAGGCCCCGCCCTCTCAGACTGAACACAGTGATCTGTACATGGCCCCGCCCCCTCAGACTGAACACAGTGATCTGTGCATGGCCCTGCCCTCTCAGACTGAACACAGTGATCTGTGCATGGCCCCGCCCCCTCAGACTGAACACATCTGTGCATGGCTCCGCCCCCTCAGACTGACACTGTGATCTGTGCATGGCCCCACTCCATCAGACTGAACACAGTAATCTGTGCATGGCTCCGCCCCCTCAGACTGAGCACTGTGATCTGTGCATGGTCCCACTCCATCAGACTGAACACAGTGATCTGTGCATGGCTCCGCCCCCTCAGACTGAGCACTGTGATCTGTGCATGGTCCCACTCCATCAGACTGAACACAGTGATCTCCTGGAAGGAGAGGACTTGGCCGGTATATCCATACATGCATACAGCTGCCAAGACTGATATTCATATTGCTGCCCACACTATTACATACTCATTCTGCTACCCATACTGTCCACATACACTACTACTACACACTGATGCACATACTGCATCTACTCACATTACTACACACACTAGTACACATATTACTACCTACTCTGCACTGAACACACTCTACATGAACAGACACTGACACATACACAGACATATTGCACCTAATTACACACACTATTAACACACTGACACATTCACATAACCTTGACACATACACACACTGACACATACACAGACATACATACAATAGACATCCCAACATTTACAAACTCAATTCAGGGAGGTTGCTTCACCAGGTACTGCTCCCCACCCCATCCCCCACAGCCACCAAACATGCATGAACAAGGACATGACATTTTATTATGACAGAACACAGCTATTTATTTAACAACATATTGCAACTAATTACACACACTATTAACGCACTGACACATTCACATAACCTTGACACATACACACACTGACACATACACAGATCTTGACACACAGATATGGCACATACACGCACAGATACACATACACAAACAGATACACACTGGCATATACACACATTGACACATACACACACCGTAACACACAAATACACATGCACTCATACACACACATTGACACAAGATAAATAACACACACACTAATAATACACACACAATTGTGTGTATATAGACACATACATGTTTTAATTTTTATATTTGCAGCCATCCTCCTGTTAGCTGGGTGGCTTGCTTGGGGACCTGGTGATGGCGGCTGAGGCCAATGGGTGTGAGCATGAGGGTCTGCAGCAGTTTACTCCTGCCTCTCCTCCACATGCTGACTGTGATGCCACCACCTATTCCCTCAATCTCAGCACTCTCTTATGAAGCTGAGAGGAAGTGACAGTCTGTCACTTCCTCCTAGCTTGCCAATACTACAGGTGCACGGTCGTGGTCTTAAAGGACGGTCGTCTGACTGGGCCCCTGTTATGCGATACCCAGGGGCGTACCTGGGTGGCTTGCTTGGGGACCTGGTGATGGCGGCTGAGGCCAATGGGTGTGAGCATGAGGGTCTGCAGCAGTTTACTCCTGTCTCTCCTCCACATGCTGACTGTGATGCCACCACCTATTCCCTCAATCTCAGCACTCTCTTATGAAGCTGAGAGGAAGTGACAGTCTGTCACTTCCTCCTAGCTTGCCAATACTACAGGTGCACGGTCGTGGTCTTAAAGGACGGTCGTCTGACTGGGCCCCTGTTATGCGATACCCAGGGGCGTACCTAGAGCATTTGGCATCCGGGGCGGATCCTGTGCTTGGCACCCCCTCGCTCCCCCCCCAAAAAAACCCTGTAAATATTTTTTAAAGTTTTTTTTTTTTTTACAATTTGTAAACTTTGCAAAACCGCTGTCAGCCCCTCCTACAAAACCCTTGTCCTTCCCCGCCCCCTCCTTTAAAACTCCTGTCCTGCCCACTTCTACAAATCCTGTACTGCCCCCCATCTACAATACCCTGCAACCCCCTTTCACAAATCCCCTGCTTATCCCCCCTTATAAAGACTCCTGTCCCAATACAAAACCCCTGCCCCCTTTTACAAAATCCCTGCAGACCCGCACACACATTTATAGGCAGACAGTCACACACACAGTTAAAGGTAGACAGTCACACGCACACAGTCGCATGCATACAGTCATGCACACAGTTACAGGCAGACAGTCACATATACATTGACACACACACACGGCAGCAGCAGACAGTCACATGCACTCAGTCACAGACAGATAATCACACACACGTTTACAGGCAACATCAAACAGTCACGGACAGACAGTCACACATACATAGTCACATGCAGTCACACACACAGTTATAGGCAGACAGTTACACACACAGTCAGTCACACACAGTCTTAGCCGGACAGTCACGCACACAGTTACAGACAGATAGTCACATATACAGTCACTCACACACACAGTCACAGGCAGAGGTTCCACACACATAGGCAGACACACATACACACACAGTCACATGCAGACAGTTACAGACAGTCATGCACACAGTTACAGGCAGACAGTCACATATACATTGACACACACTCACGACAGCAGCAGACAGTCACAAGCACACAGTCACAGATAGTCATACACGGTTACAGGCAACATCAGTCACAGATAGTCACACACATGGGCGTAGGAACCAAAAACCTGGGGGGATATCATTTTTACTCGCTGGGTATATTTTTATTCCGTAAACTAGGAGTTGTTTATCCCATTGTACAGTGCTACGGAATTTGCTGGCGCTATATAAATGATAAAATAATAACATTAAAGGATCACTACAGGGAAGGGGATTTACTTACCCAGATACAGCGCCGGGATCCTCCTGATGCCGCGCCCCTTATTTCGTCAAAATGACGAAATAGGAGGGTGCAAACAGGGAGCAATAAAACACTTCTATTCAGAAGCGTCATTTCTCCCTGGTGCGCATGCGCAGCTTTGCCGCACATGCGCAGATACTTCATAGGGCGGCATTCATGTCTCGACTAGGAAGCACCTCTAATGGCCATCTGAGTGTTCACTAGAGGTATTCCTCAGCAGTAATGTAAATACTGCCTTTTTTTAGGAAATGTCAGTGCTTACATTAAAAAGCCTGCAAAGACATGCTATAGACACCAGAACTACTATGTTTAGCTGTTGTGGTTCTGGTGACTATAGTG